TTCAAATCCTACTTCAGGAATATTTTCAAGACTGTCTGGACTATCGATGGCAAAACACATCAGTATAACATCTGTATCCGGATATGAAAGAGGTCGTAATCGATCATAATCTTCTTGTCCAGCTGTATCCCATAAAGCTAATTCAATCTATTAAAATCATAAATATAATATGAATCTATCTCAACCATCACTAACTTGTTTTCCATCAATCTCAATGTCTGATACATAATTTTCAAATACAGTTGGAACATAGACTTCTGGGAATTGATCTTTACTGAATACGATCAATAAACATGTTTTACCTAAAAGTTCATGAAAAATTTCATCAAAAACAAATCTTGCTTTGTAAAATGATTCATACCGCAAGCACCATCGCCGACGATAACAAGTTTTTTTCGTATAGCTGCCATCTTTTTTCAATAAGATGAAACTTGTATGATAGTAAAAAAATAACACAGTCAATAGAAGTCTAATCTTGTAAAAGAACAAACGACGACGACGACGACGACGACTACGATGATATACGCCAAGCGACTAAATAACAGAGAGAGAAACAATCATTTTCTAAAAATATATGATTGGATGTATGAGAGATGAATAATCACTATTAACGTCAACAAACCAATAATTCAACTACTTGAATATTTAAATATCCGAATATTCAAAATTATTCATGATTTTCGAAATAAAAAAATGACTAATATTTCGTTTTTTATTTCTTAAAACACTTTCTAATATAAAATTATCAGATTGAATGGCAAATTTGTAGATGTCGCGAGTTTTTAATTCTGAAGACGGTTGTCAACAGTGGTTCAACGGCAAGTGTACCAAGCAGAAGTAAAATGTACAGAACATCTGCTACTTTTGATTTACACTATTGTACACTTGCTCAGAAAAGCAAAGTGTACAATGTACACTTTGCCAAAACAGTTTACGCTTTGATTTCTTTGATCTCTGAACCTTAAAAGTTGCATATAGTATTAAATAAATTATAGTTTGTCTTTTAGATTGTGAAAGTACACTGAGAGAGAAATCGTCTGCTAAGTTATAAATAAAAAACAAGAAAAATAGTCTTGTTTTTAGGTACTACTCGCCTATAAATCATTGCTCTCGTTTTATTGTGTACACATATGCTAAAGTATACTAGACAATGATTAATTATATATGAGGTGACATTGTCTATAATCAATACATCGGTGATGAATTCTCCTAGAGCTTATAGATACTCAGCAATCTAAAAAAATTCTTCCTGAAACTCATCTGCTAATATTATAATCATAATTTCGCTGCCTTAAAAGCTATTTAATATTGATTTTAGCTTAACATATAAGAAAAGACTCACGAAGCAACGTTTCCGATTATTGTTTCAATATTACATCTTATACGTTTATCCTGTGGGAATATATTTTCTTCGTCATGTTATTTCTCGAGGAAAATGGATATAGGAAGGACGTTAAATATTAATATGCCTCGATGTTTGACTTTTGTTATATACATTAGACGATATTTATGGCACAGCCTTCTATTTGTGTGTAATTAGTCAACTATACCTCGAACTATAATGTTTGTTTTTAATTTAGAGGTCTACAATATTGTACGAGATCCTCGATGATGATAAACTAATCGAAACGAGGAAATAAAAAAACAGAATAAGATTTCTGAAAAATTTTGTGATTATTAAATAAAATAACTATTGAGCCTGGAATATCTTTTCTACCGCTATTGTCTATCAGAAAATCCTTAGAAGAAAAAGAAACACACAATACATCTGTCGCTGAAAGAAAGAAAAACGAAGAAATACTAGATCCAGTCGCCGCTAGCGATTTATATATTGTAGTCTACCTCTGCTTGTTAATCTGGAGATGTAATGACAAAAAACAAGAGGTTTTTTGCACGGAAATCTACAGAAGTCATTCCCATAGGGTACAATCTTTCATTCGTCCTCGTGTCTATTGATTATTCGCCGACAAGACTGAGAATAACAATATGTTATTTCTTTTTTGAAATTTCTTCTATTACAGTGTATTCATCGAGTGTCATAAAACAATAAATTCTTCCTTTTTATTATCTTACAATAAAAAACAAATATAAAATTCTAAGATGTCGAGATTTTCGAAAGCAATATATCAACTGTAATCTTGTTGTCGGAGACTAACAATATCAAGAAAGTAAAAATAGATTTCGGCTGTCTTTCACTCTATCATACATTAACACAAATCGACCTGTTAATGCTTTCTCGAAGAAAGCATTTTAGCACATATACCAAGGCATGAAATGTTATTATCCCTATAGAATAGTCTATGATATTTTGGTATATCTTTTGTTACTTTATCAAGACGCATCACTGAAACTCTTTCAACAAGTAACCTATTAAATATCGTACTTTTATCAATGAATACTACCTCGAAAAAAAAAATATAACACAATGACCTTGAAGTCAACGGACCTCAAGAGCTTATTATATTATACGTACCTGTATGAGTTTCAAATCATAACTTCTTACGATTTGAAATGAACTTATATCTCGCTTCTGGATGCTTATTTTTTGAAAAACTCTGACCAGTTCTGTCACATGTATTTTAAAATATATACACAATATAAGTGCCTTACTCTTATGCTCTAAGATAGATATTTGAAAAGCATGATAATAATACTAAAAATGGTACGTTGTCATATAATTATTGTTCTTTTATTTTTTTTTCTTCTTATTATTTTCAAAATTATCAGATGCGATCGTATGATAAAATATTTGCATACTCTCGGAACAATCACGAGAACTGACTAATAATAGGTAATGATCTTTCAACGAAAATACTAATGACTGCCTACTATTTAATCATGCTGAGTGTGCTCTTTTTCAACTTACCACTATCAATATTTGGAAAGCTTAAAAATTGTCATTCTTTTTCATGCTCAGATTTCCTCACAATTACTCACGCCATTATGTGTACCGAACGAACATTATAGCATAGTTGAACATGTCGTGTGTTGACTGGCATACAGAATGAATTCTTTAAAAGTCATAAATTTGATTATCGAAAGTAATTTATTTATGCGACACATAAGAATAAGCCAATGCAGCAATACTATTTATTGGATATAATTCAATCAATAATACAGCAATTTAAACTTAACGAAAAAAGAAAGAAAGAAAGAAGAAACTAGGAGTGATTTAAAGAAGTGATTTTTAAGAAAACTATCTAATTCGTTTTTGTTCAATACTGCATTTGAAATTTTAGACACGAAAAAAGACAAAACTTAATATTATTGTAAATAGAAAAATGACTTCAATAATATATGCAGATAGACTTAACTACGAATAAATATAAATGACGAAAACCCATTTCGTACGAGATGCAACGAGTAAAGTACTAATGGAACAACTTATTAAAAACTTAATTCGTCGCTGGGGAGAGAGAAGAATTTAGTTTCTTCGTTATTGAACTTATTTGCTGCTATAAAACTTATGTATGACTCGGCAATCGAATGAATATTTTCAGGGTGTTACGACAGACAATCACTTAATGTTAACTTTCTTCTTGAAAAACGGTTTTACTCATCGATTAGATTATTGTTCACTATTTTTGCAAAACAAAAATGTATCACTACGCAAATAAATAAATGATAGGCGAATTCTGTGCTGCTCACTTGCTTTGTAATATTGATGAATAGATGCTACTAAAATGCGAGCAGCTGATGAAAGTGCGCAAGCGAGACACTGTGACGTTTAGTGTTAGTTCTATTCTTTTTATTGATGCAGTGAGGACATTTTCACAAGAGAATTGATGATTGCAATAAAAATCAAGGTCCATCACTTTTTTGTTATAAATGACATCTGTGCCCATGTGAAAGCTAGAAAATCAAAATATACTCGAGAACTATTGTCACTATTTCATCATATACAAATATATTTCTACTGGATATCAAGTCTAACATTTAATCGAAAATCAAGTATTGAAAATGCTAGACAATACCAGAGTCGACAGAGAGAAACTAAAGATCATATTTTTTACGATGCAGTCATGTGTCTCTCTTTATGGATGTGCACAAAAACAATTGAAATTTGTATTCATTTCTCTTCAAAAATTATCAGTACATAACATTTATGTGTTCTTTTTCCGGTGATGTTGAGTATCTCACTCAAAGTTCAATAATGATGCGTATAGTCAATAATCTTGTTGATCATGTGAACGAAATATAAATATTTGATAGTTAGGAAAATTTTATTTTAAAAAACTAACTGAACAAAATTCTTCTAGATGTTGCTGGAATCGCGTTTTGATCAATGAGAGATTTTGTTGGCTTCTTTTGAAATTTCTAGTACAGAATTGAAGGCTTCGTAATACAAACAAAACAAAAAAGAATTGCGTCGTTCAACAATTTTTTTCTATAGAATTTACTTTCTTCCACAACTTTTGATGTTTACAATTTTGAAAACAAACACTCGTACAGACACGCCTATAATTGAGAAGTTTGTATTTTTTCCAATTGTACTGTTCGAAACGAATTTCCATAGAGTTTTCTGTAATATAGAAAACTTTCTCATATGTTCTAACTACGAAATTTCAATACATAGTGTATGAAATCAGCCATTGTAAATCTCTATTTGAGTTTACTCTGCATAATAATATCTATGATGTTATTTTCATTCGTGGAAGTAGATTCGTTATATGATTATTGAATATAGAAACCATAGATTCCGAATTTTCTACTACGCTATTTATTTTAATTTCCAAAAAGAAATTTTTCTATGTTTTCTTGTAAACTTTCATATATATGTATTCAGTGTCATCGATTTGAAAGCAAAATTGCACGTGTAGTTTGCGAATAGAGAGTATGCCTTGATAAAATTCTCCATTTTTAGTCGATATACACCTTTTATTTGAAGGCCGTTGCTTCGCAACAGATATTAAATAAATATTGAATGTCAATTAAACTTAAGAGTCGTTTCTATACGATTGTTTTCTTTTGAAATTAGATCTTAAACATAGAAAAATATAATGGTAAAATTAACGCCTGATCTTATTGCTAAACAAGCACCAGGTCATAATAAACGACGTGCCGATGAATCCGTTGAACATTACCTTTCCCGTCTTACACATTTACCATTTCAAGATCGAGTCATTGATTCCATTGTAATACTCGTACATATTCCGTTCATTTATTTTCATTCTTGTTTTTCTTCTATTTAGGATTTTATCCCGCCTTGTCGACAACTAACCGTAATTTATCTATATGATAATTTAATCACAAAAATTGAGAATTTTAATTTTGCTGAAAATTTAACACATCTCTATTTGCAAAATAATCGTATACAAAAATTAGAAAATCTTGATGGTTGTCCGAAATTACAAAAATTATATATTGGTGGTAATCAAATACAAGTACTTGAAGGTCTTGAGAAATGTACTCAGTTGTCAGAAGTCTATGCTGAAAATCAACGTTTACCTGAAGGTGAAAAACTTCTTTTTGAACCACGAACTCTACAATGCCTCTCAAGTGTTCTTGGTAATTATTTAAAAACAAAAACAAAAACACTGTTTGTTCTATTTTTTAGAAATTCTAAATGTTAGTGGCAATAATTTAGATTCTTTAGTCGAATTAAGTGGCCTCGAAAAATTACAAGAACTAGCCGCAAATAACAATAATTTAGATAATCTTCGTGAACTCGTACAACTTATAGGTATATGGCCACGTTTAAAACGACTCGATACAAGTCGAAATCCAATGTGTTCAAAATCACGTTATCGTGAACGATTAATTGTTGTATCAACAACATTAGGTAATTTTTTTCTTACGAAGCAAACATCAGTTTATATTTAAAAAATAATTCTATGAATAGAAATGCTCGATGGTAAACAAATCACAGATAATTCAAGACAATTTTTAATGAGTTGGAAAGCATCACGTGAAGCTCAGCAGATAAGAGAAAAAACCAGATCAGATTTGCTTGATCAAAGATTCGATCATATGAATAATGGTGGTAAGCATAGAAAAGTTTTGTTTAAGTTTTAAATGTCTTGTGAGGATAGCAAAAAAATTAAAAGGATAACTGTATGTACTTATGCATCATTAGTTCATTCTTTTTCAAATCTTCGTACTCCTTTCGCGCTCGCTCGATCAATGACATTACATCCAATGACAGGTGGGTATACCGGCTGCCATACTGCTTTGTTAAATTTGATTCTTTTTCGTATACAATAAATATCTTGAAATCCCGACTCAATGCCATAGTTTTACTGATTGTTATCCTTCTAAAACTACTAGTCTAACTTGATATTTTCGCTTCTAGCAGCATTTTCTTATCCTCTATGTTAATATATTCGCTTTATTACATAATTTTCAGCTATTATAATTGATCTATCTGATTTAGAATACAAATTACTCGAAATTTTCTCTTCTACTTCAAATTTATCATAACATAAATATAAATTTGTCCATATATTTCGAGTCACTTGATATACTATTTTATTCGAAGATACTTATCGATATTGATTTCGTTTATAGAATCTTATATTTAATTGTATTCTATAGATTATCGTCGTAATGTATATAAAGCAGATATTGGTCTTATAAGAAAAAGTCAATTCTCCACGGGAGGAATTCCAGATGCGGCGCAACAGTTTGTATTGTTCAATATTTTAAATAAATTTTATTCATAATTATGAATTTTGATTTTAGAATAACAATAGAGAGAAAAGATAAACATCCGAATTTTCCTGATCCGAATAATTTCAATGGTACGGGAATGGCAAATTCAAATCATCATCATCATGCAATGAGTTGTCATGATGCAGCTGAACAAGCTTTTCTTAAATGAGCCTGTCCTATTTTATTTCCTCTTCTACTAACTGGTCATTGTTTATGGTAAATGTTAGCAAGCAAGACACTGTATAAGTTGATGTTTCTTTTCAGTTGTTACATATTTCTTAAGAATAAGATCAGTTGACTTTTATTTCTGTTGTCTATTCGTTTCGTTATTATTTTTTTTATTATTAAACATTTTATTTGTTTATTCATACTGCCAATCAAGATATTTTTTCAATTTTATGAAGTGTATTTTGTATAAAATATAGCTTTTCACAGCTATTTGATATTGTTACAATGAATTGTAAAATTAATCAAGAAAATTCTGATCTATACACTGGTGAATAGATGGGATAAGTATTCAACAAAATCCATAGTTATCTTATCGGAAAATGTCATTGTCAAGTACAATCCAAATGTAGCAAAAATACATTCTGTAAAACTCAGTCTTACTTTTGTCTAAGTTCATAATGTGATGACTAAACAGAATTGACCAAGTTAGTGATTTTTTTCGTAATACTAAATATAATACGATGTATACATATATATATAGAGAGAGAGAGAGAAAGAGATTAGAACACGGGTCAATTCCGGTCTTAGCTATAACTCAGTCATCTCTTCCAACTTTTGATTGATGTGATTTATTACTTTAAAAAAATGATAACGTATTTTGATTTGACACATTTTCAATAGAGAAAAATCATTCGACAAAATATTCCATATATTTAGAAATCATTGCGTAGTTTTACTTTACAACGTCCTTTTGAACTCAACTTTGTTGTTTAGTGAAGGAGTTACTGTACTTTTTCATCTACCATGGTTATTACCTAATACCAATTGGCTTATAACAACGTTCTCTCATTTCTCCATTCAACATAAATTGATGCCGTAATCAATGCACCATAGTAAAATAAGCGGTTCTATATTAAGACTTCAAAGAGATACAATTATTTAACTATCTAGAACACCCGATCGTCGCTAATTTCAAAAACTCATTTAACTTACTTTTATTGAAGTAACATGTCAAGATGCAGAACATGACTAAAAACTAGCTCATTTAAAATTTTCATAACAGGTACAATTCAATGAAAAAATCTCAAAAAATGGCATTGTAATGATTAAAATTTTCTTTTATATAATTATCGTAAGACTTCATTAAAAATACGTACTCGATCACGTCTCAAATCTTGAAAAACTCCTTCAAGTAATAAAAAAGATCAGTTAAATATGATGAACAACTAAAAAGCACAACCAGGCAAAGAAAAAAAGAACACTTAGACAGAACATTTGCTTTTTCTGGAAGTAGCATATTTTACAAGTAGTAGACAAAAAGCCTCATGGTACATTGCGAGACAATAAGAGAATAAAATTAAAAGAACAGGGCGTTGCTACAAGGTCAGATCTGATATTCTTCTTCTTTGTAATTATCGTGTTTTTGGCAATCCAGACAAAATGTTTTTTTTCCAGAACACATTAGCTTGAATCAATAAAAAATTTTGCAAATGTATGTGTTCATTCTGACCTTCGATTTTCTTGAATTGATCACGTCAACTATTTGTATTTCCTAATTTGATCATTCGAGTTAATTAGCTTAGAAAACTTCGAAAACAATTATTTTGGCATGCAACGTCTGAAATCATCTAGAACAAACAGCATCATTCGATTCCTCAGATGACAGTCTACACTTATTTAAATATAATTCTAACTTAGAAAAGTCACTCTTGACACTATTTTAATATTACTGCGATTGTTTAATGTAAAATAATCGAAGATTCAAAACTTCATCGTCATGTAGCAGGAGAGATGTTCTGTTCGATATTATATATTTCGACAAACGAGAAACGGTTCGAAAATTGTAATTCGTATTTAAGTGAAATCAAAATCATTTGGCCTAGAAAATAGTTTCCAAGAGAAACAGCGTGAATAGTATAAGCGTTGATACGTAAATTTTGTTGACATTTTATTTCAAGACGAGAAGAACAATTTTTTCCAAAAGAAATTTACTTTTGTTGTAAATCTATTTAATCGATTCTGACAACATGAACCCTTACGCTTAATTTCGGAAGGGAGAAATACATGACTAAGAAGGGATGAAAACGCGAGCAATAATATAAGTCAATGATGTTTGATAATCATTTTCTACGTCATCGTGGGACTTAAAAACTCGTCTAAAAATTAGATTTTACTATGATGTATTCAATTCTAAATAATTCTATTGTCGATTTAGATTTCTTTTCGTATATCAACCTGCCATTTGATCGACGAAAAAAAACATTCTGCTAGATTGTCAATGTCTGATCATGTTTACTTGTTGAATTCTACAATTAACTCAGACAATTGTCGTCGATGAAAATTTTTGTCAAGCAGTCTGTCAAGTTTATTCTGAAGTTTTCCCCATTTCATCTCATCATGATTGTGTCCATGAATGAATAACTGAAACAATTAGCCGCCAGGTTTATTAGATAAAGTCAACGCCTTTAGACAAAGTAATACAATAAAATTCTCTAGTACGACTACAAATTTGATGGACGCTGACATAAATTGAGCTCTATACTCAAGTCAGGAGAGCTTAGTTTCAGGAAGTGAGGCAATGTGTACATGATTTCCAGAGAAAGGTGGGGAAAACGTCGCACATCTGAATGTCGAATAGCTCTATATAGAACATTGTAGATATTAGCGATTCATTTCGTATTAAATGTACTATTAATATCAACAATAAACAATTGTTTCTCGTAGGTTTTCACTATTATACCGAACAAGATATAGGCTAAGTTAAAGAAAAAATAATTAAGTTTAAATAGGATAAAAACTGGCTGTCAATAATTTCGACATAGATGAAAATACGTGCTCACTTCATATTCACGTGATTGTATGAATCAGTAGAGCGTTTTTTAACATATAGTTTGTTAATATAGAACTAAAAAAAGAAAGAAATGATGCCGATAGTTATATCTATTAATTAAATTCTTATTCTCAAAAGGCATAAAATGCTTCAATTAGGTGACGAATACAATCGATTGTTGTTGATGGAAATTCGTTGTTCGATTGAGTATTTTTGATGTCTGGTAGGTGTTTTCCATCAACATTAACTATCGATTACATTCTTTGCGAAGCATGAATATAGTTCGAAATTTCATTTGTTCTACATTAAACGATCACATCAATCATCCTAATTAACTTGAATAATTAAATTGCAACCAGATGTTTAAATTGGTCAGAAAGCACATACAATTTTGTTGAAACAGCGTCTGGAGCATGGAATTGTGGAGTGTCAACAAAATAAATAGAACAAAACTGTAAATTAATCACATAAGGAATTCGAAACAATTATTCGATGTTGCGATTCGGAACATTTTATAAGTTAAAATAATATTTATTTCAAGGCATTTACGTATATTAGTTTGAATAATCAAATTAGGGAACAAAAACTAACTGAAATGATTAAATTAGGACAAAAACAGAGCACACCCTGTCGATGATTAGAAGTCTGTGTAACGACTTTTAATAGTTAAAAATAATCAGTTTGAATTTTGAAAAAAATCGTTACTAGAAAGTTTTTTTCTTCTTCTAAACTAATAATATTTCATTATTGAATTAGAGATAGGCGTAGTATCGAATGTATAGGAGACAAGTGTCTTGCTTAATGATAGATGTTTGACATTTTTGACGTCGAACGAGTAGTGACTTCGAGAAACGAGATCAAAGTTCTCATAATTTCATTTATCAAATAGAAAATAGAGTGGTTGCTATTGCTTGTAACAAATAGTAATAATAATTTTCGTTCTATTTATCTTTCATATGATGCAATAGAGTGAATATTTCGAGTAAGATCACAAAAAATAAATAAATACATCGAGATTCTAATGACCTATTCATGTCAGAAGTTCAGTAAAAAGCAATGAATAGACGTACATAACAGCATATCAATGCTATAAATATAATTCCGGTCGGAAATTAGATATCGAATAGATCACGAATGGAATTAATTATTTGAATATGAAGTTTTTTAAGATATCGGTTTTTGTCTTATTTTATTTGATAAACGATACTAAAAAATTTCGTACATATCGAAATATTATAGTCTTAACAGTTACTTTACTAAGAATGTATTTAAACTATTAAAGTTTCTTCCTTATTCTAGCCACATGAGATACTCTCGAGGTCGTCGATATTTTGCGAAATGAGGAAACATTTGCTCATAAGTACTCTTTCATACCATCTCATAGGGATTATTGAAATATTGACAAAAGTACGAAAGAATTATTTATACGAAAACAAAAATATCAATGAAGCACTGTGACGAAATTTCATATAAATAACGATGATATCTATTCATAGAGAATCAAATCATTTTGCCAGCAATCAAGAAAAGTACTCGGTAAGTATTATAGATATTTAAGAAATGGTTAAAACAAAAAACATTTTTGATGGATTGTTGGGACTCGCTGTACTTGTATGCACTTTGTTTCTACAAAAGATAGTAAAGAAACCTCCGATGAGACAGACTTTCAACTAAAGATAAGCTGTCTAATGAAGAAACTATCAACAGTGCAGCTGAGCTCGCTCATTGTCGAACAGCAATAGAACATGACATTAATGGTAGCCTATTAACACTTGTCGATGAAGCTGAACGTGCACATATTCCCAATACACCAATGTCAATAGAGTTAATAAAAGCTGAATTTAGCCACTGTGCTTGTCACCACGTCCCTGATCTGTCTGGCGGCTCCGAGTGATCGAACTGAATAAAATATTTATTTAGATTTGACTCAACATTTTCGAATTGAAGAAAACAATGGAATAACATTATTTTGACTTGCTCGAAATGCCAATAATTCACATTGGATCAACTCGTTCTACTTACGTATGTACAGTCGACATTTTTGTGAACCAAATAAACTGTCTGTTTGGCTTTTGAATTTGTTAAATACGCTATTCTATAAATATATATATTTTTAATCACCATTGACACTCTATGCCCTTTGGAGAGATCAAATCATCATAGACATTCAAATTTACTATTTTTATATTTACACATAAGATAATCGAGAAAAAATAAATTTTTTTCTCTCAGTAATATATCAAAAAATATGATCTTCTAGATTCTATCGCTACTTAAATGAAAAATATATCATTCTTAAATTTCAGCAGTTTATATAATTGAGATATAAACAAATACACTTAGGGCATCACAAAATTGCATGCATTTAACAAAAATAGCTTTGCCATTGCATTAATAGTAGTCGGTATTAAATATATATATATATATATATATATATCTTTTTGATAGTAATAAGACACGCTCACATAATTACGTTTCAACTAAACCTTACTGTTTCATGAGCGTCTGTTTTTTCTTACCCATGTCGCCGATTTTAGGAAATAATGGACATTGCAATGCATTATTTTACAATAGAAATGCAATGTATGCAATTGCGTGATGGTGCAGCCTATTTAATGCATTGAAAACGTCTTATTCGGCACTTGCTACATAAGATCTATACAAATCAATATTCCAATTACCATAATTGTGTCTCTGTGGTTCTGCACATCTATCCCCTTAACTTAACCCCTTAAACTTAGTCTATTAACTTATATATATATATATATCCCCTTAACCTTAATCTATCTGTCTAACTTAACTAAATCCTTAACTTTCATCAACCCTCTTATATATATATATATATATATATCCCATAACGCATCATTTCGATCATAATCGATGTCGAGCCAAGACATAGGAAAAAGAAATAGAAACAATTTTCATATTGAATGTAACTTACCATTTCGAGCAGATCGATAAAAATCGAAAACAAAAGACAATGCGTAAATCATTTTTTTAGTATTGAATTCAAGCTTACCACTTGAACCATGTCGAATTGCAGTTGAAAGCGAAAATAGCTGAAGAGCGTATATACGACATAAGGCTGCTTCAGTAGTATTAAAATAGTTTTGAGATTTGGAAAACAAAATAATTCATGATCTAATCTGTTATACTTGATACTGTGAGCAGTTCTAGTTCTCTAGGTACATCCAAAACTGAGCAATGACGAAGACCCAGGTCGAGCAATTCCACATCGAATCCGATAGGAACTTGATAGTATTCTACCATCCGACAGAATCCTATAGCATTCTGGGTCGAGGAATTGACGTCGGAACCACTGATCGGAACCCATTGAACTTCCGATGACATCCAACGGTATTTCTTTGGAATTCATAGGAATTCGACACTGAGGATCCAACTTCAAATCCAGAACCCGGAATCCGATGATAGTTCTGTAGGGTCCGATAAGATCCTACTGGGTGCGAGTCGGATCGGATGGGTTCCGATTGGTTCCCATTGTTGGATTGCTCGATCTGGAGAGTTAAAACTTCTTACGAGGGGTTTAAGGGCTGTGATCTTTTTCATTCTACAGAATATTTTAAAAGCACTCGAAACTCTAGTAGTCTTACGTTGCATCAAATAGTAACTCGAGATCGGATTTCGAGTTGTTCGTGCACATTTTAGCGATTGAGTAAACTCGGAAACTCTTCGACTTGTCTGGGAAAATATTTTGGAAACTGAAAGGATAATCTGATATAAGTCATCAAATTTTGAGTCAAGTTTTCAATAGTGTAGGTTTCCATTATCGAGGAAAAGGGATTCGAAAAATACTCGTAACGCTCTAACTCGAGTTACATTTTTTATTAGATCTTTAACTAGCACGACTCTTACTGAAAAGCGTTTGATACATAGAAAGCTGTGGCAAACCAAGCATCTACCTGTCAAATCACTTTTGCAATATTTCTTGTACGAAAATAGTGAATTTTCTAATTTAAAAACATTACTCTACGTACATAATACTTTGAAACGCATTGAATGATAATGCATTGAAATGCATTCAATAAAAATCCATTGAAATGCATGGAATGATAATGCATTATCTTAAAATTGTCCATTATTTGGAATAATGCATTAAAATGCATTGAAAAGCCAAGAAATAATTAATTATATTGCATTAATTCATTTGTTTTTGAAATAATGGAAAATAATGGGTTATTTTTCCACTATTCATCCATTATCGACTACATGGGTAGTTCCACTATTCTAGAAACTACTAAAATCTAGAAACATGACAGGAAACCTTCTCAGCACGCCTCAAATTTATTTTGCTGGCAAACAAATAATTTATAAATAGTTTTAATTAGCATACAGCACATGGTGAGAAATATAGAAATTAATTGCAGAAAAATTATTTCATTAGGAAAATTCTATTTTAAGCAATAAACTGATGATTAAATCAAATAAATTACTTCGTGGATATCATGAAAATAACAGGAAATATGAGATGTCATAAATCATAGAAGAAGATGAAAAAGTATCTAGAGTTAGAAAAAAGAAATATGTATGTAAAAGTAACACTAAGCCACAATTTTTGTTTTGTTGCGTAGGTTTTATCTTACTAATGCTAAGTTGAATTAATTGTTAGAGTGTTGACAAAACAATCTGTTACATATCATTTTGCTCGAAATAAAAGATTAGAGAAAACTATGGACATAGCTTTCAAGTATATTATTCATGTTGTAAAATGCGAGATTCTTTGCTTTGAGATAGCGAAAGAACCGAAGGCGAGTATATTTCTAAGGGTTCTTTTGTATTGAGATCATATCTGAGTTTTTCTTTTGTTTTTTCGTGACCTATTAAATTGCATTTTGCTGATAAGCGTTCAGCAAATGACTAATCTCCGGAGTTCTTTTTATTTAGTCTTTCTTTTATAACTTTATATGGAGCAACGATAAAAAGAAGAAGAAGAAAAAGAAAATGAGACAGAGAGAGAGAGAGAGAGAGGGAGAGAATGAAAGAGGAGAGAAAAAATGAGAAACCAAGATCTCGTCATCTCTTCTTGTTTTCCCTTGTGTACGTTTGGAGATCTAGTTTGCCTTTATTAGGTTTCTTTTTGTTTGATGACAACTCAAGATAATTTTGAGTATTTATCTATGTAAGTTTAAATCACAAAAATCCGACCTGTTGTTTTAAGCAATAACTAGACGATAATGTCATTTAGTGTAACTAATTATTTATTTCATAATCTGTTCTTTTTCCTCTCCCCTAGAATATGAAAACATAATTTATCGATTTATTTTTAAAATACAACGCTAGCCGGTGCGCTTTATTTTGCTACATGCTTTAAGGAGTTTTTCGACAGATCATGAATTCGCGATTAAATTTTAATTGAAACGATTATAATAATTTGCCATGCAAATCAAAAATATATATTTAAAAATAAATATTATAGACGAATAGAAAAATACAATAAAAAAAACTAGAAGTATCTTTTTTTCTTGTGTGTTTAGAAAAGTTTGATATTTTTATGATTGATACAAATGAATGACGATACAAGAATGAATTTATCAACAACATCGTGCCCATACAATGCAAGTTCATGCTATTATATTGATAATGGAGAAAACTGTTTATCAGACAATATGGTACTTGAATTAATTTTAAAATATGTTAGCATCACATATTATGAATGGGTATTTATTATACTTTATGTTATCGTTTTTATTGTTGGTACAATTGGTAACCTACTTGTAATTATTGTCATACAGCGTAATCGAAGTATGAGGTAAAATATAGAAACTATTTGAACTGTAGACTTATATCATTGATTTTCGCTTCATTCTAGAACAGTAACCAATATATTTATCATGAATTTAGCTGCAGCTGATTTATTAGTTCTTGTATTTTGTTTACCAGCGACGGCTATTCAAGATGTAACTAAGACGTGGTTTTTTGGTTTGGGTCTTTGTAAATTCGTCAATTATATACAAGTATGTTGAATCTATTCTAGTTTATTAAATCGATTAAAATAAGATTTTTTTCTTGAAATCTAAATCGGTTTCTTTTTTGTTTTTGATATTCTTTTCAATGGTAAAAATAGGATCATAATCTGAGCTTGCAGATCGTATTGATTGAATTCAAATAGAATTCTATAGTATTTAGAATAGTTGCAGAATTTTTGAATTACTGTCATCTTAAAATCTAATGGATCATATTTTGTCCGTTATGTTTCTAATAGAGCGATGAAGTTCTTTCTGAAATTCTCTTCACATAACAAAAAAGCGCATTATTGTTTGACACATGTATAATTTATTTTTCTCGCGTTAAAAATTAATTGTCTATAATATTTATTGAATAAGTCTGTTAGTCTTAGCATAACATTAACATGCTTACGCATATGACATCTTACTATATATACAAGGATAATATCTTTTTTCAAATATATGTCGTTGAAAAACAAATAGCAGCCAGTAAACTCAGCATAATTGATATCAGTGATCTCTCGAAGTGTAATTTCTTGTGTTGATTACCTGGGCTCTTGAAAATGCATGACTTCACCCATATAATAGAATTGTTCCATTGTAGAATATGTCAATATCTGTATCTGTCCTTACACTAATGGCTATTTCAGTGGAACGTTATCAAGCTATTGTTCATCCTCTTAAATTTACTGGTACTAAACAACGTGCACGGATTTTAATTCTGTCCGTATGGATACTTTCCCTATTACTTGTTCTTCCAGGTGTGATTTTTCTTTCTTATTTTACTCTCAAAGTACAATTATATTAACATTTTTTAGACGCTATTATGATGACCCTGAGTCGACAATTCGGTGATCAAATTGAAACAATTTATTTGACATAGTAATATTCTTTTGATTCAATGATTGATAATGAATGGCCGATTTTAATTGAAGAAGAAACTTATTTTGTCTACTATAAAGAGCCCAGCTTATTTATACGAGGGCGACTTCCTATTTTCTTTGAATAATGAATAAGGTCCTTAGACATCTGCTAATTTAGATAAACTTTAAAAATTCTCTATTCTATGCCAAACATCATATGCACTCTATGAAATGTTGATTATTAAGTAGTTGGGTGCGAAATTTCTATTCCACATAAAACATACTGTAAAATTTCACTAAAATAAAAATTCTCTAGGCATCTTTGAAAAGATTCAATGAAAAAATTTGTATTTTGAGGTTTGAAATAATAAAAAAAAAACGCTCAATCATACGTCTACTAGCTGTTGTTTTTACATCTATCCGATAAAAGAAAAGAATGAGCACATGTTGATATTGTTAATGTTGTAACCAAAGGAAAAAAGCTTTTAAGCAGAAAAATAAAAAAATAATATAATATATTCTTCGTTACATGAGGTTTGAAAAAAATAAAAATCGACCATTGATTATTGACCATCGATTGTTTTTCACAGTAAAAATAAGAAACTATTTATTTAGTTGTCAATGGGATGCTCATCCGGTTTTTGATCTTATTTATCAACTACATATATCGTTTTGTTTATTTATAATTCCACTTTGCTTGATGGTTTTCACATATTCTGGCATTGTTAAAGTTCTTTGGGGTTCATTGCCCAGTGAACGAGTATTGAATGATGAAAAACGTGCTATCTATTCAAGTCAATATAAACTAACAGGTTTTATCATCTGTTTGGAAATAATTAACACGATCAAATGTAAACTTTCTCTTTTTTGTTTTCAGTTCACTCCGACGAGTCTCTTACCAACAGTCCCACAAATAACAATAGCGGTTTAATGAATACAAATAAATCATCGAATTTAACCGTACAAGAAAATCGACAAAAAGCAGCTAAAATGCTAATCTGTGTCGTTATCATATTTGTCATCTGTTATATTCCAGTTCATGTATTTAATTTATTTCGGTACGATAAAATGAAATCATCAAAGCAAAAAAGCAACTAAATAAATTTTATTATTATTTTAGATATATATTTGTCTACTTGGAATATCTAAAACGTCCAATGACGGCGGCTAGTAATAGTACAAGTGAAATTGTTGACTGTTTTGAACCGAAAATTGTTGCACTCGATCGTACTGGAACAATTAAAATTATAACGCTTAGTGCATTAATATCTCATATTCTCCCCTATTTCAATTCATCAATTAATCCTATCATATATAATATGATGAGTGGTAAGTAGATTGATTTTATTTTCTATCGAATTTTCTTGTTTATTATCTTTTTTGAACATCTTATTAGATAAATTTCGTTTGAAATTTCGTGAACTATTTTCATCGTGTTGTTGTTGCTTGGAATCCGTATTAAGATTGAAATCAACATCGTCATCAACAATAATACAATTAAAAGCATTAGGTGCGCAGCAAATAAATGAACAAGCAGTGATGCAAAATACAAATCGTTATCGCCGGAAGAATAGCCATCAATACATCACAACTAAATATCCAACTGGCGCCAATGGAAGTGGTCTAGCATCGTCTAATCCTTCCAAGAATAAAATTGCACGACATAGTAGAATCAATACATACGTGCATAATGGACCTATTGCTATCAGATTGACTAATGTTTAACATTTTAATATATATATGCCGTGTAAGCAATTTTAAAATTAATTTATATAAAAAAGAATAAATTAAAACAAGCAAGAGAGTAGACTTGTGATATGATGAAATAAGTCTCCTTCTGAAATCTCGTTGCCAATCAATAGACTAACGTTTACTGATATTTGACACAAATTATTGTACGGGCGTTTGTATGTTTATACAAAGTTGGTGTAGATACTATTTTTATATTAATAATATTGGTCAATATCATGTCAATTGACAGTATATGGCAATAGATTAATGAGTCAATTATTTCAAGTTTTGATATAGATAGTGAATGACAAACATTGTAGTATTTATGTCCAGAAATAAGTCGATTACTAAATATATTATCAGCAATCATTTCTTAATCATTAATAAAAATATCAGATCGCCAATCGCCTTATTGCATATGTGGATACATTTAAAAGTGAATCTATTCTATTGATATATTGAAGAAAAATAATGAACGACAATATTGTTCTTAGGTCACTTGAAGAAAGAGTTAAGAATAAATTGCGTAGACTATTATAAGTTTCTGGCCAATAGTAGAATTCTCACTAATTAATAAATAATCCAACACTATTGCTCTACTCAAAATGCCGTTAAACGAGATAAACCATCAGCAATGAACATCAACTAAAATTAACACGCGATTCAAACAACGCCTTTGCAAAAACGCTTGAGTTCATTGGTAAAAGTGATTTCTGAACTATTTATGAGACACATTTTCTTGTGCGCATCTAATGAACGGGAAGAACCCGAAATTAAACATCTCTAAAAAATAGATCTTAAAACTTCACGATTGGAGAACATCATTTTCTATTTTCTGCTATTTCTTTTCAATAATTAAAAAGACACGTGACTCCTAAAGAAAAAGCGAAGAGGCTCTTTAATTCTTAGAAGAAAAGGAAGCTAATCGCAAGTAGAGGATTATGGACCTTGAGTATATTCTAAGGTACAAAAGAATTATCTTGTTCATGTTCTCGAGTTAGGAAATGTCCGTTGATGGAAAAATTTAACCTAGCAAAAAAACAAAATAAAATAATTTCGATCTGAAATCATGCCCGTCATTTGGTTGTAACTATTGCTAAAACATTTGATATGATAAACATTTCTCGATTGAACAATTATTTGGCCTATTTTTTATGATCCCTAGAGGCATCTTAACTAAGAAAACAGATTGGTTTCTATATAGAAGCTCTTATTGAGGATGTTATTGTAATGGTTCTTTTGTTTCTTGCAAAGAAAATTCGACTATCAAGGGTTAAAGGATGGTTCTTGAAGAGTCAAAAGTGCTCTGTTCAATGATGTATCGAAGCATAAGTCTAGCCGTCGTGTTCATAGAACGTATAGCGCTCGGTACTTTTGATGAAATCAAAATTTGTTTTTCTCTCTGATATTTTGTTGAGGTTGAAAAGAAATCAGGCAATGTCACTTAGAATAATTGAGAAATTCGAACTCGAAAAGAAGAGGAAAAAATGACAGCACTTATCTCAGAAGTATTCGGCTTTTACTGCTTATTAGATTTTTTCTGTAAACATGTCTAACAAAAGAAACTTGATTGATTTGTATTTTGACAAGGTCCCATAACATTCATTGGCATTATTGTGGAGACATTTGAGTTGCATGCTAAGTTACTTTTTTTAAATACAATTTCATAATTCTTATCAATCATTATAATCACAATTCGTAACTGTCAAGCTTTAAGACATGCACGTATCCTTCTTTCTTGAGTGCTAATTATCAGATCGTATGTTATGAAAACTAATTATTTATTAATCAATATATGTTTTTTTTCGCAAAAATATTTACGTGTTTTATTGATGAAGAGCTTTATAGATACTCTTAGTTAACATTTAGTACTTTATGCTGGATAACAAAGAAAACTATAATGAATAAATCTTACAATTTAATATTTACCAGACCATTCATAATGAGGGAAATGAATATGCAATGTTTCTCCGGTTGCACTTCATTGACGCCACAGTTTAATTGTCGTTTTTCATAAAAATTATTATTATCTGCTCTGTGCCAGTATAGATATGTCAAAAAAGTTTAGGCCCATAAATTTATTTTAAAGATTGCGCTAGTCATTTCTACTCATATTGTTCATCTTCCAACTCAACCAAACTCAATTATATCAGTGCACTGTGAATTCATTAGAAAGAGGATAAAATGAATATATTGCTGAAAGTTTTACCGGCTGCGTACTCTAATTTATATACGATTCAAATATGGAGAGTCTAAGTTTGAGTATTTTCATGGACAAATATGCCAAGGCTGAGCTCAGCTATACTAAAATAATGTTTCTAGTAAATTTGAAGATATTATCATATTTCAAATCTTCAGAATATTGTATCTGAATTGAAACGATGCATTAAATCGTATTGAAAACAGCAAAGTTCAAATGGTACAGCTCAAACCAATTGTTCATTGTAACATCTGGTAGTTGTCACTATTATTAGTTGTAGTACGTAATTGCATGTAGAATTCGAAATTCTCTCTTTATTTATTGATCAATCAATTAACAGTGAATACTCTTACTAACATAAATTGAGTTAGCATAATTTTTTCTCCTCAAACCTCATTAAACTCATCCACATAGCTGACCTTGATGAATCTGCTGATATTTTTCAAATGGCACCAGAACTGATACTGAATGTTAGATATTCTATATTAACATTCAAGAGTCCTAGTCAAAGTATTGTGCAGTATTTCGTTGCAGCGTTCATAATTGAGATTTTAATCTTTTTCTAAACGAACAATGAGCTTTAATCAGTCAAAATGTAGTACTGTTCAAATCGCGAGAGCATTCAACTTTTCAGAAGCAAAGACTTGAAAAATGCGCCGGAATTACGGTGCCAAATGTTCATACATTGTCACTTCAATATTTCTACATGGATGCTTTCTATCTTATTAACAATTTCTTTTTATATTAGAAACTTCTGTTCATTTTCCGGGTCAAAATCAGTATTACATGCAAATTAAATAGCAATGATTTCTAGTCGAAAAGAAAACAATATTTATTGTCTTGTGTGGATTTTCTTTCCAGTCGTGTTCCAACTTTCGAAAAAGTAAATTTCTCAGCTGAAAAAGAAATTTCGATCCCACCATTCAAACACATTCCAAGCGAATACATCATATAAAGTAATTTGCGAACTTCCTGAAAACACAACCTAAATAAAATACCAGCGGGCAAATTTCCAAACAGGAAATTTCCTAGTTAAATATCCATATTTCGGAAACTTCAGAGACGAAAAGTTCAAGTTTTAGAAACGATCACAAACTTTCGTAATTACCGCAATATCATTCACCATAAACCGAAACCAAAATAAAGTGATTTCCTAGAAATTTCGATATACATATCGTATAGGTTTAGGAATGAATATGTATATAAATTTAATAACCACGCCCTCAAGATTCAAAAGAATTTCTAGTATTTACCAGAATTTCTTCTCATTCTTAATGACAAGGTCTTTCAATCTATATACAGATTTATTCCTAAATCTATTTGATATGGATATAGAAACTTCCATAGTTTCTGGATAATGAGCGAAATTACTCGAGAATCTATTTTTTTTGAGCTCTAATTTGCATTCATATTATTAGTTATCTCTAAAATTGACGAGAAATTTTTATGCCTGTGTGAAATTGATTTTCGAAATTTTCAGGAAAGCTTGTTGGGAGGTATCTGTAAATATAGTATTGTCTTATAATTTTCTTTCGCGTGCAATGGCAATTACGGATATTTCAAGAAAATTTCTGCTGGCACTCCTGTGTATCTTTCAATAGTGAGAGAAAAATTTGTTAATTGACTTTTTCGGAAATCTGAACATACCTCGATATCCGATAGATCATTCTGTTTTCTGAATCTTGGTCATATGAATAAAGCTCGATTTAGAAATTCAATGAAACGATCGTAATTGAACTCTGGAGCCTCATACGAATAACTGCTTTTAGAAATCTCTAGTCTCACGAAAGGCAGAGAATCATCACAGATCATATATGATCTCAAACATCAGATACCCATTTGAATATAGTTTTTATCTAGCATGCATGGTAACTCGAATACTATTAATAATCAACGATCAGCCATTATCTTTACTTGAAAAATTTATTATCAGCAAATTTTTCAAAAAATTCTATCAGACATGAATATTAATATTAAAAATGTAACTCTGATAAATGTGCATTAGGTTAATATTGAAAGGAAAACAATCCGGCAAGTCACAATAAATTCTAATATATTCCAAAACGACTTGTGCTTTTCTTTTTGAAGCATATATTTATTTCGCCTGAAACTATATTTACATGCAAAATCCTAAAGCTGTCTTGTTTTAATAGAACGCCAGATGTGTAGTGCTAATTGAATGTTCGATTCTGTTAGGTGTATTAATTTCTAATTGACAAGAAATTTGATGCCAGAAAGAATAAATGCTTTATTTAATTCAAAAACACTATTATATTTTTCTTTTCGTAACTAAACATCTAAACATCATTGTTTCATATATTATTTTCGTTCGGTTATGTGATGAGATACATGGCTACACACAGATACAAACGAATTATACACACACACACACACACACACACACACACACACACACGCAAATGAATATACCAGAAGAAAAGAATCTAGTTTCATTCTATATAATAATTAAGAAAAAAACGAAGAAGGATCAGAATGATTATATTTTATAATGACATTCTTTTGTTTTTCTTTGAATGGTACAAGAAAATGAGAGAATATATTTGAGTGGCAACAATGTGCGTACATATGAAAAAGTAAATCATCCTGAGAGAAACATAGTACAACCATATATATTTATATAAACATATATATGGGTGACATTAGGTGAGTAAATACGAACGAACAAAAAATCGATAATCAGCAAAAAGGAGATGAACACACGACAGAAAAGAAAGATATATATGCATATATGTATAGACGTCTATTGAAAAATCTTGTGCATGATTATATTAAGCACGTTCGCCACGAATACGTCGTGCTAATTGGATATCTTTTGGCATAATCTATGTTGAAAATATCAAAAATTTATTTTCCTTCAATTATTAAAAGAGAAAAAAACTTACAGTGACACGTTTTGCGTGAATAGCGCATAAATTTGTATCTTCAAAAAGTGATACTAAATAAGCTTCACTAGCTTCTTGAAGTGCTCCAATAGCAGCCGATTGAAAACGTAAATCAGTTTTGAAGTCTTGTGCAATTTCACGAACAAGTCGTTGAAATGGTAATTTACGAATCAATAATTCAGTCGATTTTTGATAACGACGAATTTCACGTAAAGCAACTGTACCAGGACGAAAACGATGTGGTTTTTTAATACCTCCGGTCTATAATTAAAAAATTGATAGAAATAATAAATTAAATTTTAGACACAAAAAAAAAATACTTACACTTGGAGCCGATTTACGTGCAGCCTTGGTAGCCAATTGTTTACGTGGTGCTTTACCACCAGTTGATTTACGAGCAGTTTGTTTTGTTCGAGCCATCGCAAAAAAAGTTTAGTAAGAATTCGTGGTTCAAATCTAAATAGTTTGAAGATAAATCTTACACAATTAATATGTAATACTGACAAAAAAACAAGCCTAGGCGAACAATGGCATGTAACAAACAACATTAAAGAGGAAAAGAAAAACAATTAACAATATGTCGTAAATGTCAATTTGCTTTTTTTTCTTTCTGCATATGTGTTTTGATAAAAACAATTTTTCTATTCATTGGTTTAGATTAGTAACCAATAGAATTTTCGATTTGATCTAGCTAGCTCGAGAAAAATAATAATTTACATATATTCGCTAATAATCGTGATGGATGTATCTTCATCAACACGAAAAGCCTCAACGTCAGGTATAATCACAAATTCAAATAAGCCAACAACAGCAACACTATCGAATGCACCGCGTAGTATAATCGTTCGAAAGTCGAGTAATGGTTTTGGCTTTAATGTTCGTGGCCAAGTTTTTGAAGGTGGACAAGTTAAAGCTATACATGGAACACTTTACGGACCACTGCAACATGTATCAGCTGTATCGAGTCGAGGATCAGCTGAAAAAGCAGGTCTTTGCGTTGGAGATAAAATTCTTGAAGTGTATGTTATCGATGATTTCTATTTTTCAATAGAGAAAAATGTTCGATTTCTTTTTGTTAAAATAGAAATGGCGTCGATGTGGAAGGTGCTTCACATAAACAAGTTGTAGATTTAATTAAACATAGTAATGATGAACTTCACCTTGTTGGTAAGAAAAAGACGAGAAGAGAAGAAAGAAATTTATTGGTAGATTTTAAAATTCAATTTTTACCTTTTTTGAAGTTATCGCATCGGTTGGTGATGAAAGTCATAGTGATATACATTCTGGAGAAGAATCAAGTGGCAGTTCAAATGATTATTCAGAACGACGTTCACTAGCGATAACAATACCAGATTATAGTTTACTAGAAGTCAACGATGAAAAATTCTATGTAAGTAAACAACGAAAATATCGAACAGAATACTAGTGATTATATAAAGAAAAGTACAAACAGGATGAATAATTTTATATGTGAAAGAATTAAGTAGTGTGTCAATTAATAATTAAGTACCACTCTTAATCTCGTCTAAAATAGACTAAAACTATTATTCAACTAAAGTCATCTTCAAAAAGAAATCATATTTACATAGAAGTCACATATATCACAAAACAACATTTTTTACTAAAAAAATTCTCTATCAACAAAAAGGCACTATTTATGTAGGCATAAATTAATTACAATCATTGAACCGGAAGAGAAAACATTAAGAAGCTTAATAATCAGATAAACTTGACGTCAAACATATTTACGCAACTGATATGAATGCTCGAAGGTCATTACAGTAGGAGCAGCAGAATTAAAAACTCGACAGGAAAAGGTTAACTGAACTCGGAAATATTCGAAAATCCCTTAGACTAGAGAGAATTTCTATTGTGAGATTTAATATCTACAGAACTAATTATAAATCTCATCAAAATTTTGTTTAGGTGTTCAATATTCATATTGCTGGTAAATATTTTAAGGTTTAATTCTATTACACATAATTAAATGTATAACATACATATTATAGGCCGTCATTTATGTTCACGACGCTATCGAGAATTTGATTCATTACATCAGCAATTGAAACAAGAATTTCCAGATTTCCCATTTAACCCTTTACCTAAGAAGTGGCCTTTTAAATTATCTGATCAACAATTAGATGGTCGTCGGCGTGGTCTTGAACAATACCTTGATAAAAGTAAATTTACGGAACCTAAAACACTATTTTTCTATTTGCATAACAATTTCAGTTTGTTCGGTTCGTATTGTTGGTGATTGCGATCTTGTACAAGAATTTTTATCAGCTGATGTTTATGAAGTAAATATTTTCTCATGCAATAAAAAACAAAGCCTATTTATGATTATTTTTCTAGCGTGATTCAGTTTCAATTGATGTTGAAATCAAAATAATGCTACCTGATCGTTCAGTGACCATTCTTAAAGTTAAACGTTTCTCTACGGCTGATAAAGTTTATGAAGTAAACATAAGTCGATCTTGTGGTACTGAGTAAAATTCTATTTTTAGGCTGTCCTGGAAAAGATTGGTTTGCCACAACAGTGTGCTCCGTATTTTTATCTTTTTGAAATTCTTGATTATACATTCGGTAAGAATCGTTTCTGTTTTGTTTTTTTAATGATTGGAAATTCGAGAATCGAACGTTATTTATCAATTTTTGATATTAAATTACATTTAGAACGCAAACTTCGTCCGAATGAATATCCACATCAAATTTATGTACAAAATTGTTGCACAGCAAATACAACATGTCTATGTTTACGTAAATTTATTTTTGCACCGGCAATCGAAAATCAAATTTTACAATATCCATTAGCACGAGATTATCTCTATCGAGAAGTAAGAATATTTTTTTATTAATTCGAATAAAAACATGAGTATCGTACTTTGACAAGATCTTTATCATCTATTCGTTTTGGTTACCCTTTTTTTTGATGCACTTGTGATAGTAATTCTAATGATAAAAGAATCAAGGTGAAACTTAAGTACACAAAACGAAAACAGAAAGAAATTATCTAGATGTGAAAATGTGTCATTATCTCTCATTTTTGCATGATGAAGAATGATAGAATCAGATGTGCGAAGTCTACTTGCATTGCATGAAAATATCTCTGAGGAAACTTTGGAACTAATCTTCCACGTGGAAATTCTGGTTGTGATATATTTCTATAGTTTATTGATTAATAAATGCCTGTTTCTTTGAATTGAAAATGAATTTCTAAAACCAAGTTTTCTCTTATTGTGATTGCAGGGTTAGAGTTTTTTTTATTTCAACAAGAAAATATGATAAAGTCACCGTAGCTATGATCAGATTGACGAAGAGAATTATATTTGACATTCTTATAATCGAACAATCTCAAATATCATTAATTAAATTTATCTTTTTCTTAGGCGATCGATCAACTAAGTTCTGCGGAAAATGCTACGGCCGATCAACGTTCAGCATTAAAAACTTTTGATGAAATTGAATATATAAAATATGCTCAAACATTTACTGAAATATATAATACGATCGCATTTCCCTTATGCCCATGTAGTTCACGTAAAGATAATGGTTGTGTTGTAGTATCATTAAATAGTACACGTATTCGTCTACACGCTTGTTCTGATGATGGTCAATTAGAAGCGAATCAAATAGCTGATTTTGAATGGACAACCATTGGGCGTTATTGTGTTGATGAACAATATTTTATATTTGAATATAAACGTTCAACTATGAAAGTTCCGAAACCAGTCAAACTACAAACACCATTTGGACCATTTATGTATGATTGTTTTGAATGTATTTTACGTGAATTACAATTATCAAATAATAATCCTGACAAACAAGATGAGCCCAATATCTAAAACAAAAAAGGAAAAAAAAATTTTCTCTTCTATTTTCGTGCTGGATCAATGATATTGTAGCATTTATTAATCTCTGTATTAGTGCAATCATTTTCTGTTTCTTTTGTCTTGCAATAGAGATCTGATGATATAGCTTTTTTTTTGTGTTTTACACGAACCTCAGTCATCTCGTTGTCGTTTTTTTTTTAAAATATATATGAATGATCTTTTTCTTGTTCTCCTTATAAATATGCATGACTATGCACCCCGGTTTGTCTAGTGTCACGTGATAATCAATCAAAAACACAAATTTTCAAAAAAAAAACTAGATTTTCACCTTCATTGTATGTTTATGCGCAATCAGTATTCTAGCCTTGTCTTTTGTTTTTTACTGCTAGTTATTTTTTTTTCTTTTCTTATATATTTACGCAACGAATAAGATAAATAATAAAGGCATGCATATATGTATATAAATATATATATATATATATATATTAAATCTTGTATTCATTTTTTTGTGTATGCGCATCTCTTTGTATACATCTTTATTTTCCTTTTGTTTGCAGCATCGACCTTACTGTTATATCGATTATCGAACTTAAAAAATGAGTACATCATAGAAATGAAAGTAAACAGTGTTTTATCATTGGAGAGTCGTATGTTGTTTGTTTGCGAGTGTTATTTGAATATATTCTAATAAAAATCAGTATGCTTTAATCTAATAATTTATCTTAGTTTTATATAAAAAACTTTGACCTTTGTATAAAATAAAAATATTTATTTACAGATGTATTTCTCAATTCCGGATACGACAGAAGTTTCTGCAAAACGAAGTAGTAATCAACAAGCGCATACATTATTCAATATTCATATAAATGGTATCCATCATTGTAGTTTGCGTTATTCTCAATTGCATGCATTTCATGACGAACTGCAACGATCATTTCCAGTTTCGATGATTCACATACAACCATTTCCACCGAAAAAAATCTTTAGTTTATCATTGCGTGAAACCGATGAACGACGCTTACTACTCGAGCGTTATTTACAATCAGTAGTACAACATAAATCTCTCATAGCTTCTTCTTATGTTAATGATTTCTTTTTCAATGCTCAACGTGAAACATTTCTGAATGAATCCATCAATAAAACATTCCCTGAAAAAATTAATTTTACAATTCATCTATTAAATCAACATAAAATAACTATTGAAAATCTTTCAGCCAATGACAATACATCAAAATTACTTGATGCATGTGCAAATAAAATGCAATTAGACAATGAATATTTAACTTATTTTTCATTATTTTTTTATGAACTAAAAAATAATCAATTGAGTATTATTCGACCATTGTTTTCTTTTGAATCTCCATATCTATCATTAGAAAAAGCATTAAAAACCAATGGAAATTATTGTCTTGTATTTAAAAGAACTTATTGGGATTTAAGTCAAGATTTGAAATTAATCGATAATCGTCGTACACGTAATCTATTATTTATTCAATCACAATATGATATTGAACAAAGTCAAGATTTATATCCAAGTGGTATCTATCAACAATTAAAAATTCTATTCGATAATAATTCATTGAAAGAATACATTTTATTAGCACGCACATCGAAATTCTATGGTTATATCATACTTAAAGAATGTTCAATCAATGATCTAACAACAAATAAACTTTCACAATGTATATTAGCTATTGGCAATAATGAATTAGTTTCGCATTTGTATCGTGATGATAAGAAAAAAGCGAATTCATTTGCGAAAGAATTTTCTTTTAAAGTTACACGCATTCGATGTTGGAAAGTGAATTGGACAAAGCAAAATGTGAATATATCTTTTGAATATTTAGTTAAGAAAGATACTTTAGAATGGATTACGATCCATACTGAACAAGCTGCTTTGGTTAGTATTTGCTTACAAAGTATGGTCGATGAAATCTTAGCGAAAACAACAGGTCCAACGAGTCCCGTACAAGTGTCCGACTCACCAAAGACTCAACCTAATATTACAAATGGTCTTCCTACACGCTCAAAATCAGATTTAGATCGATTAAATAATAATGATTTATTCGATAAAGGTGATGGTGACGATGATTTATAGAATAAAATAATTCAAAAAACAAATGACTTCCAGTGCAATAATCTACGTTTAATGCAAATAATTTAATCCGTCCATAACCAAAAGAAAAATAATTTATGTTTGTTTTTGTCTCTAATGATCTTCGACTTAGTTTGACTTTTTTTTATTTATATGTCATTGTTAATTTGTTTTTCTGTGTGAAATATTTTATTTTGAATTGATTAATGTTTTTTTTGTTTGTTTCAAAATATCAAGTCATCCAGGCAGAATGTCTATCTTACATAATAACTCGTTCTTTTGATTTAAACAAAATTTTGTTAAATAACAAAAATGATTTTAAACATACATGTTGAACAAGACGCAATCATTTCAATGATTATTACGATTTCTTTTCTATTCAGCTCTTCATTAAATAGTTAAAAAGAATATAAACAAAATGATTCCGATTTATCTGAGTGGAAAATGTTGTTATGTGTCGGTAAGAAGGAAGCAGCACGCTAATGTCATTTGTTACAGATGATAAATTCTGTACAAAATAAAAGTCAGTCGAGATCGAATTTATTAGCAATGGTCGATATGAATTACGATCTTCTTTTTTTTTAATGTTTAATACTGCACATTTGTAGAAATGATTCGATGTGACAGAATAATAATAAGTACAATGAGAACACGATGTTCTCTATTGGGTGAAAAACATTGTACATAATGATATTATAGCACAAAATTGTATACAAGTAATAAATATATTTTTGTAGTCTGAATTTTGCTTCTCTATCAAATGAGTAAAGTATTGATTAAATCATTGTTGTGTACTCAAAAAGTGAGTACACTCTAGATCTAGATTCGATCGGTGTGTCCGTCGAGCCGGCCGTTAACATGATAACTTTTGAAAGCCTCATCCAATTATCATGAAATTTTGTACACAGAATGATCTCATCAATATCTCAGTCGAGTTCAAAGATGAGAAGGATCCGTCAAGAAATGGCTGAGTTATCGAAAACATTGTCATTATTGACTTGATCGTCCCTGAGAGGGAGGGGGAGGCACAGGAATCTTTTTAAAGAACAATTTTTCTCAGAATTATTTACAACATATATAAATCGACTCAATTTTTAACGCTGATTCCGAATCTGATATTAATTTTGAACTAAACCATAGCTTTCTAACAAAACATCGTCTGGAACAGGTCTCAAAATGCACAAAAAGCTGCATCCAGAAACCAAATTGCCTAGATATATCTCAGATAACCAGTAATTTTGGGGGTTTCCCAAATGCCTGGTTTTGTAGCTAGTCAAAAGGACTATCGAAAGGTAAAAATGCGACCTCGATAGCTATTAATATTGGTGATTTATTAGGAAAATACTGATGTCTATATCTATCATATATCTCTTATAGATTCATGAGGTTGCTTACGATCGTCATCCCGTTAGATACAAATGCAAATCCATTCAAAAATAGCTCTTCTTACCCAGTTTTCCAAGCTAAACACGAATCTGAACTCAATTTCTGCGATTTCTAAAGATACTATATCACTCTGAGAGTAGAGTCAGTGGTCACCGGATAGACTCGCATACAGTGTCTCTTTAATGTTAACTTAACACGCCTGTATTTTCTCCTTGCAATTTAGTGACAAGGGATGTATCTTGATGAGATCTATGTCTTATAGAATAAATGCGAAAACCTCGGACTTAAATCCGAGTATTATGTGTACTTCAAAAAGTGAAAAGGTATATTCACTTTGTTTTTTATATTTTTAGATAGTTTGATCAAAATCAATCTGCCATCAATTAGTTTTAATTTTTGAAGTATACATAACACTCGGATTTAAATCCGATGTTTCCACATTTATTTTATTTCCTCTCGGGTAATATTTCAATAATTCTCTGAATGCTTAACTACATCTATAGTACCATTCAATTGATTTCATCATTGATGCTGTTATTTTTGCTTTGTAAAATGTTAATAATATGCTGTTCTCTGGAAGCCATTCAAGCGACCATCAGCTACATGAGAGCCCATGGTTAGCATGAATCGGTGTGTTCTTGTGCATCCAGCAATAGACAAAAAAAAATCGATCGGTGAGATAAATGTTCATTTCAAGCGGGTGTCGTTCAGATCGAAAATAAATTCTTTTCCCGTTTTGCCTATAACAGAAAACAAACTACATAAGTATAAGTCAGCGTGTGTATAATAAATTTATATCGAACACTTTTGTCATCACTGTTCAGAAAATATATCCGTGCAACAACAACATATTCCATGCTATACAAAACTTTACAAACACCAAATATGAGTAGGTTTCATCGTCATTCTTCACGTTCCTTCTTTCCCAACGATTCATTGAAAACAAACTTCTTACCCGTTCTTCGACATTCGTCACGCATCACCACCAAACTATGAAAGCTTTTCCTTATGATTTTCGGCATGTCATCTTCATGAAAATTTTCCGATCATTGTTTTAACTAAAGTCAACCATAATCTAACCTAGTGTAAATTTTCCCTACACCCTTAGTATCGTGCAAAATCGTTTGTCTCTTATCGCGAATATGTGTATGTTCATTTCAATCACATATGAACGTATTTTTCTTCTAAAGAAAAAATGATATTTCATTGATCGACAGCATTTTTCCCATTCAATTTTTCGTTTTTCGTTGCAAATTCATTTTTGCAGTGATGTGACGTAATCGGGAGAACGATATATTTTCGTTATTGCCCACGTCGAACATTCCGGCAGGAATTGATCGGAAATCACCGAAATACTGCTCCACAGAGTCAACGGAACTACCCGGAACTGGCCGTTTCCAGACCGAACTGCTCGACCTGGGTGTTTTTTTGCTTATCGTAAGTTTAGTTTTTAAGCATTTTTGACCTGAACATAATTTTTCTGCTTGAAACGAGCATTTATGTCACCGATTAGATACTTGTCTAATCCTCAGTACCAAATAATGCATCTGGATAAAATTAAATAAATAACGATGCCATGTCGAGAAAGTATGCATGTAGAGATGAGGCCTATTGACATCTATTGTGTACATTGTAGAAAAGTAGCTTCATGGAGTTAATTTTTGTCTGCCTGCTAACTGCGTCTTTCTATTTCCATGGTTGAATTAATTTTTTTCATGCTCACCGGAGAAACTTCTCCGTAGTACAAAATACTAGCGACAATTAGAGGAAGATAAATTTCGATCAAGTCAATTCTACTTTCCTTTTTGCTTTACCTTACATTACCGTTTATTTACAGTTTTTTGATCAAATCCGCGAAGAGCACGTAGTTTGTTGTTCTGTATATTAGTCATCGTCGCTTTTTATTCGTTTTTTTTTGCATATAAAAGAAAAGCAGTTGGAAATTTCCAACAAAATTTTGAAGAAAACAATTTGACAAGCACACCTATTCACTTTAAATTAAGGTTAGCATTTCTTACAGACTATGAACGACTTAGTACATGAATAACTGTCGATTCTGTATCGATGTCTCTAAACGATGTTATGAATATTACGACGATACTTTTAGAAACATGCTTTCAGACCGTTTAGTACAATAATACGTGGTTTTTTATGTGTTGTCTTTCTCTTTTTAGTAACCACGCACATGCCTTGCTATTGAAGAAAGTTACGATTTCATCGAAATAAAGTCGTATACAGTGTGACATTCCTTTTAAAACTCAAGATATAAATTGTTCTTTGCTTCGTTTAACCCTTTCCGACCCGCTGTTTGGAAATTGCCGTACCCCCCTAGGGGAAAATGTTGCCATATGGCAACACCGGGCCGGAAAGGGTTAATAGATTTCGTCTGATCATTTAAAAGAAATCGTATTGATTTGAATTAGGGATGCCAATTTATGGTTTATTTCATTTAATTTTAAATTAAATTAAAATTTTTCTCCTACAAAAGTTGAAATTTAATTTTTGAACTGAAAAATCATTTAAATTTAATAAATTGTTTGGATGAATACACATCATTGCTATGAGGAAAATACGTGACTTTGACAGTAGTAAATACTAAATGAGAGGAGAAATTAGTATTTTAGGTTAATATTTGTTCATAATAGTCAAAATTTCGCTATAGATTATGCAGGATCCGTCATCTTTTTTCTTCAGAATACCGGGATATTCATAGAAATATCTTTAATCGTACAATTTGTAGAAGAATGACTAGTTTTAACTTTATGAAACAGGAAACATACTCAAATTTGACTTTAAATAGTAGCAATCAAGTCAAAAACTATGGTTATCTACTAGTTTTGAAAATTTAACTAATTTAAATTTCAAACAATTTAATTGAAATTTAGTTAAATTTAAATGATATAAACTTTATTTTAAATTAAAATTTTTCAATAATTAATTTCCTCATTTAATAAAATTTTTTCAATTTAAATGTGACACTCCTAACTTGAATATTTCATTTTAGATAGCACCCTATACTCAGTTTTACAGTCGATTGTGAAAACGAATTCACGTATGGTTGGTTTTGACGCAACAAACAGAGACACTATCAATAGATCCTTCATTTGTCGGCTATGCAATCTGATTTTACGAGAACCATGTCAACTTTCGTGTGGACATCGGCAATGTAAAACTTGCATAGAAAATGCTGAATGGTATGTAAAAAGAAATTCTCGAGTTCATTGTAATCTTGAATGCTTTTTTTCCATCTAGGCCTGCAATTCAATGTGCAGAATGTTCGGAACAGACACAGAAAAACGAAGTTAATATCATCAAACTTTCTTTCTATTTAGAAAGTAATTTGTTTCTTTTACAGATAATGCCAGATAGAGGTTTTAAAAATGACATGAAAGCGCTACTGATAATATGTTCATTCTGTCTAAGGAATGGCTTATTTAAGGATTACGACGTAAAAAAAGAATATAATTTATTTAATTACAATGAGAATACGATTCAAATTATTATTTTAGGAACATCTGAAAAGTGAACATCCTAATCCAATGTGTGAGTTTTGTAAAGAAAGATTCAATTCAACAACAAGACTTGAAGAACACAAGCAAAAAGAATGCACAAAAATTACTGTACCTTGTCCGCTAAAAGAATTTGGTTGCTCAGAACCGGTAAGTTAATATTAACGAAACCAAGAACTGATTTGATAAAAACAAACCTAGGGATTTTTTAATTGAAATCCGTTCGATTATAACTCGAAGGACTTTTTCTTGTTAGTTTACCTAGGGGCGATTACTATTGTAAGGATATTCTAGTAAAATGAAATAGCTTTGGATTCAAATTTAAACGTTAGATTCTGTACAATCTGTTTAGACATGCCGAGCTCAATTACCAGAACATTACTTAACTGAAAGTCATCAAAAAGCAATAATTAAGGCAATACGACTTTTAGAAGCTAAAGCTCTCAACGAACCACACGAGCGAGTTCTAGGCATGGATATTGATAATGGACAGAGTGCCTCTAGCACAATAATGGCAACTGCAAGTGAAAATATCAGTTCACAAATGCAAGAAATCGATGAAACGATAAACATTCTTGCTGGTGGAATTCAAACGTTAAACGATGATACACAACGTCTTAGTAGTGAATCAATCAAATTACAAAGTTCAATAGAATCGTTGGCACAATATATTGGATCACTTAAATTGAATGCACAAGAGCAAAGCTCTTTTCTTGATGGTGTCAAACCTAATCAGGAGATTCTTCAACAAGATGTTGCATCATTAAAACAAAAAATTGACGATTTACAGTATGTATCTTATGATGGAACATTGACATGGAAAATATCAAAATTTCATAAAAACAGGAGTAAGTTTAATTCTGAAAACACAACATGGTATCATATATATATATATAGTAATCTCATATTGATTGGAAAAAAATAAGTAAATTCCTTTGATTATTTTTACTGTCATTACCAGAGAAATTTAACTTAATCAAGCGTGAAGTTTTTGTTTTATAATCATTTTTTTTGTAGTGGATGCACAATCTGAACGGCAAACATCGATTTATTCGCCTCCATTTTATTCATCACCAACTGGCTACAAGATGCGAGCTCAACTTTATCTAGACGGTGATGAAAATGCTCGACGTACACATATGTCTTTATTTTTCGTTTTAATGCGAAGTGAATATGATGCAATCTTGGTGTTTCCTTTCAATTACAAAGTCACATTTTGTTTATACGATCAAACGCCTCAACAAAGACACATCATCAATTCATTTCGACCAGATATTAAATCGAATAGTTTTCAAAGACCACGATCAGAAATGAATACAGCTAGTGGCATACCTAAATTCTTTCCATTGGCAATGATTCAACAAGACGGCAATCCATACATTCGAGACGACACAATGTTTATTAAAGTTATGGTGGATTTCGGTGACATGCTAAAGACATTATTACCATATGCATTGAGTCTGAATCCTGGATTGCCGATGCATATCCAACAACCATTGTTACCTGAACAAGCTGCTATATCAAATAGCAATGATCTCGAAACAGAAACAATCGAATCATCAGTCTATTTAACATCACCATGCAAGGTAGCAAACATTAATGATGGATCGCAACATCCCAATCATCCCTTTTGTAAGTTATAACTAGAACCAGAGCCCGCTGAAAGGACCTAATATTGGGAGGGGGGGTGTAAGGGGGTGCTTGCAACAAAGTTCGCAAAAAAAGCTCAAAATTTACAAAAAATCTTCTGCTGTTGCTGAGAAAAATTGAAAATTTTCAATTATTGGGGGTGTGTGCACCCTCCCACCCCCACTTCCGCGGGCTCTGACCAGAACTTTTCTGATTTTGAAAAGTATAACTTATTTAGATTTCTCATCAACAACGCTTGTGACCGAGTGAGCGACGATGTTTTCAAGTATGGTACAAAGTTTAGGTTGTATATCATTTGAGTCTAGAATATTCGAGATTCGACATATTAATCTTCTTTCGACACTTGAAATTTGATATTTTAAATTTTTGATAAATTAGTCTATGATCTTGCACGCTTCAGATAATTTGTATTTAATTTAGAACCATCCCAGTCAAATCCGTATTTGACTGGGATGGTTCTAAATTAAATATAAATTATCATTATCAATTATGCAAGTTAGACAGCCAGCCTGATATTTTATCATATTCTAAGAATTTGTATATTTTGAGACGAGAAATTGAAAATTTTTTTACCCTCGTGTTTCCATGTACGAATAAGGCCACTTAGATTTATGAAATAAGATCTGTAAATTTGCTAGCACCTGAGCTTGTCATTTCAGTAGCTGAGAATGATAGTGTACAAAATTCTACTCATTCTCTCTTTTGGTATCCATAGAATTGGCCGAAAGAAAAAACGTCGAAAGTAAAAAATGTCGAAAAAAAAAGCGTCGAAAGTGCTATAAATCAAGTTTGAGCATACGCTATCCATTTAAAAGTACAACGATGGATACTCCTACATATTGTCCATATAGGATTGTTGAAAAGCTGGGTTTAAACTCTATCTATAGCATTTTCGACATTTTTTCTTTCGACATTTTTTACTTTCGACGTTTTTTCTTTCGGCCAATTTTATACCATTCCATTTTTTTCCTATCTGTATTAACTGCAAAAATAAATATAGCGAAAGAAATACATCGAATTTGCTTTACTCACTTTCCAACTTATTGAAATAAAAATCAAAGTTAGTGGGGAAATTTCCAGATCTTATCCAACAACATTACTTTCATTTGTTCATTGAATAAAAGATTTTAAGAAATCGTTCAAAAATTGACTGGTTGACGAAGATTGAAAATCGAAGCTAAATAATCAAGAAATTAGATATCGAAAGCTCACGTGTGAGGATGATAATAGATCGAATGTCGAATATTCTAGACTCAAATGATGGTATTCCCTAAATTCTTTTTATCTATCCTGTTTGTTTTTTTTTCTGTATTTAATTAATACTTTTTTCAACTTTTATTTTAAGAAGGATATGAATATTCTTCAGATATATTTTGCTACAATCCCATATACTGTCACCTCTTCCTAATGAAAAATGATTCACAATATTCTAGCAGTGTTCCTGTTTTTAAAAATGAATAAACTAAATCTTATGCATTATGTTCATTTACTTTTCTGAAGTTGTTTTTGATTTTCTTTCTCAAATATATTTTGATTGTCACATGCTGCAATTCATAATCGTCTCTCTCATAACTAGAGGCATATTTCTCTATTAATTTTTATTTTTTCTAGATGCACTCATCATAAAATAAAGAAAACAAAAACGAACTTACGTTTCATAAGTAAAAGATCACAAGCAATATAAATTGCGCTCACACGAAGAATACTACTTTTTTTTACTAGTCATGCCACACAATTTATTGTGACTTGCCAACAATCGATGTATATTCTTACTAAAATTTGTTTTAACAAGCCTAAATCTTTCTTTGATTAGCACAAGAGTCACAGCAAAATTAGTACTAAAGAAGTATTTTTATATCTTAGCGTTAAAGACAAATATTTATGATCGAAAGAAGAAATTTGCACGTTTCAAAAGAAATAATGGCACGCGATCTCCGCATCACAATTAATATTTCAATTCTATTTCTCATAGGCTAAAATATCGTGTAGCAATCAGTTGATTTTTTTTAACAAAGATATTTTTGAACTTTTCGTTCGGCAAGGATTTAAAACCAAAAGCATTGACATAACCAAAATAATAATAAAAACTGAAAAGCAACATTGATATTTACTTTCAACAAAAAAATATGATTTTCATTACAGAAATTCAAAATTTTTCAGAATCGTGAAGCATTAAAATAGAAATTTGTACTCTGCTGCTTCTCGTAGATATTGAGAGATACTCTGATAGCTTATCAAAGAGTATGGCAGTCGTCTGAACAAGTTTTCCGTTAACAACAGAATTAAATGTTAGATGGTGTTTCGTCTTTTGATTTAACTTAGTTTTGCTTTGCACAATCGTTGGAATCTTTTTTGTGTAAAGTCTGGTGCATTCACTTAGTCAGCTATTTACATTTTACTAACGCATACCTGATGTCATTTCTTGTGCAATGTTTCTCTATTTCAATTGAGAACTACGTACGCCCATTCTATCGTTCAAGAGAGCAACACTAAGTTCTTCTTCTCATTCTCTATTTATGGACAATTTTTTTTGTTGATAAGTTTTAAAGAAACAGGTGGGAGTTTTCCAACCTATTTCTTTGAAATATATCTAATTGCGTATAGGCAACGTCTTCATTTCATAATAGAGTAAGTCATTCAAGAGTGGGAGTGGGGGGCTCATCTGGACATTTCTAGTCAATCAGATAGCATATAAACATTTTCTAAGAAATTAATGATTCCTGAAACAAAACGGCTCTTTGATATAGACGTAATACTAACACAATAATAATAAACTATTAATGAAAAGTTCGTTCTGGAAAGGCTTATTACATACTTTAGATAATTCTTCAGACTACAAGCCAACCTGTGCATTCCCGAATCACTCGGAATACAATCACTGGACGATTATTTTTTGCCGACGAAGCGGTGAGTACCCAAAGATATTTTATACTGATAGCTATTTTATACCAATGACATAAAATAACAGGAATCTTCTTCGTTTAAGCATATTGAATTCAAAGCGTATATTAATTTCGCAAATATGTATGACTGTTTTTGTCTTTGCAGTGACTTTCACTATTTAAACACACAATCACATGAGCACCCCAAGTGTTTGTCGTATTTTTGATCTTGAAAAATTATCACTATTGAAATATTTATCCTTGAAAAAATTAAATCAAAGAAATACTTCATATATATCATCTTGACAGAAAAAGAAAATTAAGATTTTTATATAGTAATATATTTTTCGTTTTTCTTGAGGGCATTTTACTAGTAATGATTGTGTTTTGATCATGATGTTATTCCAGTTTTTGTTAACGTTAATAATGTTTTATTATTTATATAATATTTCAGTCCTTGTAGTCTATCATTATTTACTTCTATACGTTGTTCTCATATTCTAATTCTAATTATATATATTCTGTGGTACTGTTGGTTGAAAAAAATTCAATAATGTGACATGCTTTTAAGCTAATTGTAGTAAATATCATTTAAAAAAATATGCTTCATATGTATATATGATAAGAATTGAAACACCTATAAAAACTGTGATAAAAACTTGATAACTATGAGCTGTATATAGATCAAATTTCACTAAAATATATAGACTAAATGACTAGTGCACTATTGTAAGGAGACAGAAAACAAGAGAATACATTAACATGAATAAGATGAAATGAACTCACCATCACTATTTAAAACAAGGATATCACTATTGTCGTTTCAGTCATACAGGAGTAGAGTTAACATCTGCTCTTTTATGGCTATGAACGATTAATCAAAGAATTTTCTTTTCTTTTAGAAGATTTTGTTATCCTCCATATTTCGATTTTTAATAATGTCTCGCAGTTTTTGACAATTTTTTTATCAAGTTTTAAACAAATATTCACTTTTGTGGGTGCAAGAATTTTTGAACGAAGAAATATCTTTTTTGGAATATTAGTGAATATAGAAACAGTGAGAATGGTTCGTTTGCAGACATTTGGATATCTGCTGTTCTTTTACGAAAATAATATTTGTGTTTTTTGTCCAAACTCTGCTGTTAAGAGCCAGTAGCTAAGAAACAAAAGCATAGCTACGATTATTTAAGTTTTTATTACTCATGCAGTTCTTTTTTTTTATGATTCAAAATAGCTTGAAGCGCTGACATTCTGATGTGTTGCTAATAACACTGTTAGTGTTTTTTTTGACGATCACTATGTAAATTGTTTTTCTCTTTCTGTGAAAAAAAATGAGTAATACAAAAAAAAGAAAAAGACATTGACTGATTGAAGCAGAAATACCTTCTAGCAGCTACCTATGATGAGTATCGTAAGCACACCTTTAGCAAATATTATAAAACTTTGGATACACTTTAACGTTCAGATTTCTTTTTAAAGATTGTAGTAATTATTTCCATATTTGAGATTATTCAAACAGAAAATTAATATTTATTTGATATTTTATAAACTTTGGAGTTTTTAATTAAATGAGCAATGGATGAAATTCGATTCGTGTTTGGTCGAAATGTTTTTTAACAAGTATATTCCAGTTTTGGATTGAGTTAGCGAATTACTTCTTTTAAATGTGGATTTTTCTTCGATAGAATATGTTTTATTAATAGTTTTTTTCGTTTTGATAGTAACTCTTGTTTAAGAAGATATGTAACTAATAATAATTGGCCGTTTTTTGCCTTAGAAAAAATAGCCTCATGCTCATATTGTTTAAAATAATTTCGTAGGCGTTGGTTTCTTCTACTTTCTTTGGTGTAAGTTTTCGACGGACCCTTTTTTCTTTGCATTATTTTTTGATTATTTTTCGTTGAGTTCGCATGTTTTCGATAAAGTTAACTATTCATATCAGAAGATAAGATAATATGACAATTTTTTACTTAGTCAAGTGTGTATATGCATTTCAAGCCGACTGATTTCGTCTAGCAATTTAACATCGAATGCACACTGTCACTTTAATGTTTGTTTTTTTTATCAAATAATTGTCATATGAGCTAAAAATAACGTCATGGATACGTCATCACAATCAATCATGCGTCACTCGAGAAAGAACGACGCAATACAGAGTGATTCATTAAGTATCGAATCATACCAGTCAAGGTCAAGGTATCCAATAGGCTTACGAAAAACTATATTCGGTGTGAAAGAAACACAAATGTGAATGTTGTTCGCAGATACATTAGTAGAAAAATCTTCGCTGAAATTACATTTTTTAAATTGCGTTTTTGCTCCAATCCATATATCAAATTGAGAAATAACGATACAAATCGATTTTGGATGTCTGATGGAAATCGCTAGTGGATGAATGTGAGTGTATATTTCCCACCCACCCACACCCATAGCTCACGTGTTTTTATATTCAAGTTGAACTGCAGGAGCTAATGTAATTTTCTAAAAGCAAGCAAAATCACGTTTTCACTATGTTAGCCTTCTCCATTAGCGAAGGCCCGATGAATCTTGACGTGTCAAAAAAATACCAATCCAGTATGAAGTTAGATTCAACTCTACGTTATTCATTTCTGACTCATCCATTAAAACAAGACGAAGTTAGAACATAAGTTTATTTATCATGTGATAAATATCGGCTCTCTGCTTGTGTTTCTAACTGTTGCACAAGTGCTTTTTGTTTGTTTAAAAGAAAATCCTAATACTAAGAGAATTCGAGTGACTATTTATCTCATGAAATTCTAAATGGTGTCTTCAAGGAAGATTGTAATTTTATATGCAGTGTTTTTAATTGGAATCTAATGTACAAGAACTTAACATGTTGATTTCTAGGGATACAAAAAGAAACCTCTATTAAAAAGTAGTTTTTATTTTATTTCTCACATTGATTAGCACACGAAAACTTGAAACTTAAACTAAAGCAAAATTATTCTAAGATGGATTCTTTTCTGCTATTGTTTTCCAAAATTTCTTTCACGTTCATATCAGACTGTACACAAGCGCAACCATGTACTAAGTTATGTGAACATGGCGATGCTGTAGTATCTCTACCTATTTTTCGATTGCGCGAGAAAAAAGTGTGATTATGTTTAGATTCGAAATTATATTCGATTGATGAAAATAAAATTGAAAAGAATACAAAAAAAACCCACTTAGTTTTCCTAAAAATGTCACATTTTTACTTTACAGTATTACCCAAGTATGGTTGGTTTTGACGCAAGAAATAGAGATACTATCAGTGGATCCTTCATTTGTCGGCTATGCAATCTGATTTTACGAGAACCATGTCAACTTTCGTGTGGACATCGTCAATGTAAAACTTGCATAGAAAATGCTGAATGGTATGTAAAAATAAATTCTCGAGTTCATTGTAATCTTGAATGTTTTTTTTCCATCAAGGCCTGTAATTCAATGTGCAGAATGTTCGGAACAGACACAGAAAAACGAAGTTAATATCATCAAACTTTCTTTCTATTTAGAAAGTAATTTGTTTCTTTTACAGATAATGCCCGATAGAGGTTTTAAAAATGATATGAAAGCGCTACTGATAATATGTTCATTCTGTCTATGGAATGGCTTATTTAAGGATTACGAGGTAAAAAAGAATATAATTTATTTAATTACAATGAGAATACGATTCAAATTATTATTTTAGGAACATCTGAAAAGTACACATCCTAATCCAATGTGTGAGTTCTGTAATGAAAGATTCAATTCAACAACAAGACTTGAAGAACACCAGCAAAATCAATGTACGAAAATGATTGCATCTTGTCCGCTAGAAGAATTTGGTTGTTCAAGACCAGTAAGCTGATATTCTTGAAACCAAGAACTTATTTGATAAAAGCAAAACTAGGGACTGTTTCTTGTTGGCTTACCTAAAATCAATTATTAAGATAAAGATATTCTATTAAAATGGAATAGTTCCATTATCTTTGTCATTCAATAATACGAATCATTACGTGAACTTATATGTGTGATCTGTTTAGGTTTGTCGAGCTGAATTACCAGAACATTATTTAACTGAAAGTCATCAAAAAGCAATAATTAAGGCAATACGACTTTTAGAAGCTAAAGCTCTCAACGAACCACACGAGCGAGTTCTAGGCATGGATATTGATAATGGACAGAGTGCCTCTAGCACAATAATGGCAACTACAAGTGAAAATATCAGTTCACAAATGCAAGAAATCTATGAAACGATAAACATTCTTTCTGGTGGAATTCAAACGTTAAATGATGATACACAGCGTCTTAGTAGTGAATTAATCAAATTACAAAGTTCACCAGAATCGTTAACACAAGATATTGGATCGTGTCAATTGAGTATACAAGAGCAAAGCTCTTTTCTTGATGGTGTCAAACCTAATCAGGACATTCTTCAACAAGATATTGCATCATTAAAACAAAAAATTGACGATTTACAATATGTATCTTACGATGCAACATTGATATGGAAAATAGTTAGCTTCAATAAAAAAATGAGTAAGCTAGATTGTTTGTTTCTATAGATAATTATTGTAAAATCATTCAGAAAACAAATAGGTGAATATTCTTCATATAAATCGATGGACGTGTAGATAATCATTTAGTTTTTTATTGTATCAGTGATACCGAGATCGAAATCATAACTGAGCAGTCGTGCAACACGAGACGTTTTTGTAGCATATTTTCAGTAAAGGATAGGGCAACGTTGTCTTTCTTTATAAAGTCCGTTCAATAAACAGTGTTTTTCTTACTGAATTTATCTAACATATAATTACTGTGCTCGGCAGAGATTATTGTTGCAAACACAATGTCATTACAATTTATCATAGATTTCAAAAATAAATAAGTAGTTAGAGAAGGATTTCAGAGCCGTACAATTCACTAGGATATATCAAGGCATGTCAGAATGCTATATCATTCCTGATCATGCGTTATGATCCGAACAGAGATCGTCAAGGCTCATAGAATATTTTCATTGAATTATCTTTTTAGTGGATGCACAATCTGAACGGCAAACATCGATTTATTCGCCTCCATTTTATTCATCACCAACTGGCTACAAGATGCGAGCTCGTCTTTATTTAAATGGGGACGGAAATGCTCAACGTACACATATGTCTTTATTTTTCGTTTTAATGGGAAGTGAATATGATGCACTCTTGAAGTTTCCTTTCAATTACAAAGTCACATTTTGCTTATACGATCAAACGCCTCAACAAAGACACATCATCGATTCATTTCGGCCAGATATTAAATCGAATAGTTTTCAAAGACCACGATCAGAAATGAATATAGCTAGTGGCATACCTAAATTCTTTCCATTGGCAATGATTCAACAAGACGGCAATCCATACGTTCGAGACGACACAATGTTTATTAAAGTTATGGTGGATTTCGGTGACATGCCAAAGACATTATTACCATATGCATTGAGTCTCAATCCTGGATTGCCGATGCACATTCAACAATTATTGATCAAACAAGAATCAGAAAGAAAAGCACTGCAACAACAGCATCAGCCTCGGCCAATGCCGATAAATTTTGCAATACTACCAGCAGAACCATCACTGTCGCAAGAGTCCTCTGAAATTGATATTGACGAAGATAGCTGGAATGGGCAGGAAAGTTCCAGATGAACACTGGGTGTGAGTGTGAGCCATATATGCCCATCGCAGCTGACAATCCACCAGACGTGGGCAAGATACTTGAGTGTGGGTGTGAGTGTATAGATAACACAAAAATCACACCCACACCCACATTCTAAAAAGTTGTTGCTATGAACATAAATCATATTTCTAGGCATTTGAAAATACTTTTCCTTGTATAGATTATTAACTTTTGAAGGGAAGAAAATAAATCTTTTTTTTGCATTTATTGAAAATAAGAAATGGGTTTATTGAGATTTGAAAAATCTTCATCTTCTGCTTCTTATTGTTCTCCATCAATTGAGTTATCAAATTCTCCATCAAAACCTTCTTCACTTTTTGCTTTTACGCCTGAGTGGACTAATGGTCCTGATATATGATCATCATCTCAAATATTTACGGGTAAAATTGATTCACCTCGTTGTAATTTCGATTTTCTTTACTTTGTTATGAAAAAGCTAAAATCCACTCGAACTTGTTTAAGAAATCTTCAAGTAAATTCAAAAATAACAAAAAATAATCCTCCACCTGAAAGAATTCGAAATTTATTAAAAAATGAAAAAGATTATTTATCACAATTACCTATTGACATTTTACCAGAAATTTCACCAAATACTAATCAATTATGTTAGTTTTCTAATCTTTAATTTGATTTTTTCTTTTAAACTTCTTTTTTTCCCCAGTTACTTCTCTTGATCTTCCATCAACAAATGATGCTCGTCTTTCGCTTCATCATATAATAAATAAATATTCTTCTCCTGATCTTGAGGGTGTGGGTATTGGTGTCAGTGTATAGATAACATAAATCTCACATCCGCACCCTCAAGATAGTTAGATGTTGTAGGAAAAATTTTGTTCGCTTAATCATCTCAACGTTCTATCAACTATTGTATATACGGACACCACTAGCTTTGTATTATCTATTACCACTATGTTCGTAATCTTATTTATTGATGGCGCATTTGTTAAATGTTGTTTTTCTCTATGAAATGACGTCTATAATTATCAAAACACTATTTCATATGTGTACATCCCAAATTAAAAACGTATTTGATCTTGACTTTATTTATTTATTTGATCCTCTTTTAATTTCTTTACAAAAAAAAAACATACAAAAAAAAACCTTGAATAAGCAGAAATGGTGAATATTTACTATTGACCAGTCTGCTAAATTTCTTGCGTAGAAATTATTGCTTTACTATTGTAAACTTTATCATGATTAAATATCGGATAAAATTAAATGCAAGTTGTTCATATTTTTCTTTAGCTGGTGATGAAATTCAATGCCTGAGTAGACAAAAATTCTTTAAAATGTATTTAGTTGACCTTTTTTCAGTTGTAATAATTCATTTTACCAATGCTTTCATTTGTTTCTCATATTAAAACCGATTGCCTTGTTGTTAACATACGAATCCACGACGAGAAGCATCAGTGAGGCGATTTGGTATATATAAAAAAAATGCTTGTCTACTCGGGTATTTTCTTAGGTATCTGTTGTTGAATGTTCTTTTGAAGTTTGGATTTCAGCCTTTTTTTCTAGTGCTTGCCTGATAAAATGTTGTTGAACATCTGTTGGCAATCCAGGATTTAGACTCAATGCGTATGGTAGTATTGTCTTTGGCAAGTCACCAAAATCAACCATGACTTTAATAAATATTGTATCATCTTGAACATATGGATTACCTTCTTCTAGGATTTTCACTAAAGGATAGAATTTCGGTATGCCACTAGCTATATTCATATCTGATCGTGGCCTGTGAAAACTACTTGAACGAATATCTGGTCGAAATGAATCGATGATATGTCGTCGTTGAGGAGTTTGATCATACATACAAAATGTAACTTTATAATTGAACGGGAATTTTAATATTTGATCATGTTGACCACGCATTAGAACAAAAAATAAAGACATATGTGTACGTCGAGCATTTCCGTCTCCATTAAGATAAAGGCGAGCTCGCATCTTGTAACCAGTTGGGGATGAATAAAATGGAGGTGAATAAATTGATGCTTGCTTTTCCGATTGAGCATCAGCTAAAAATGAAAACAATATCAACAGTTAGAAAACATTTTCTAAGATTCATATTTCGATTTCATAAGTGCTCCATAGAAAAGTTTCTATTGATTCTTCTCGTTTTCATATCTATTCAACTTTCGATGAAATTTGGCTTTCTATATGACTTTCAAGTGAATATTAAAAAAACCTTTTACGTACCCATCTTCTCTCGAAAGTCTTTAATTTTCCATGTAAATGAACCATCGTACGAAGTACATTGTTTATCATCAATTTTTTCTCTCAATGACAATAAGTTTTGATTTAGAATTTCCAGATTCTGTGTTATTGCTTCGTTCAAGAGCTGCTCCTCTTCAACAGCTAATTTCACATTTGAAGTATTTTCTACTAAACCTTGACGTTTGTTCTGATGTTCAAGAAATTCTGTACCAAGTTGTTGTGTTTCTTCATTCAATATTGCAGTACCATTAGCTAGCATATTAATAGTTTCCTGAAGTTGTTCTAATTGATTTGCAACAAAATTGTCGTCGTCTGTCGTTGTAGTTGTTCGAGAAACATCACTATCCATTGAAGTTGATGCCGCTTGAGCCTCACTTAATTGTAATTTCAACTGTTTGATTACTTCTAGCATTGAATCTTGATGTTGTTTGCTTTGATAATGAGCTTTTAATTCAAAACGAGGGATCTAGATAAGAAAAGATGTTGTACAATATTTAAAATCAATTTTTATGAAAGATACAAACCTCTTGATGACAACCAAAGTTTTTTAATTGACATTCAATAGCAATATTGGAACAATGAAATGCTTTATGTTGATTGAGATGATTGATTGAATTGCATTCTTCGTCACAATAATTACATTTTGTATTGGGATGAGATTGGACAAGATGCTCCTTCGAAAGAGAAAACGAATTTAAAAACAAAAGTCAAAAAATGAAATTTTCATGATTAATATTCATTACTTGATAGTCTATTAGGATACCATTCCAATTGCAGAGTGAACATATGATAGGTAAACATTGCATATTATTTTTAAAATCTCGATCTGACATTATCTAAAAGAAATCTAATTAAATATTCGAAAGAATCATCAAAATGATATCATACTTGATTTTGCGGTGTCTCTATTTGACATTGAGGGCATTTGACTGTATTTCTATTAATAATGAGAGTTCAGAAGTTTGGTTTTATTTTTGAAAAATGAAACTTACTGATTAAGAGTGTCTAAGCAAGATTGACAAATTCTATGTCCACACCTCTTAAGTTGAACTGGTTCAGACAATATGAATGAACAACGAGCGCAAATAAATTTCGAGTCAAGTATATTCTTATTCTGAGCATCCATTGTAGTTAATTATTATTATATCTGAAATCGAAATAGATTTTAATTCTTATTGGATCTGATAGAAAACCAGATTAGATCTCTTGTAAAATACAGACGATGATTTATAGAAATTTAACCGTTTTCTATAAAGTATATAGTAATAAGACTAGAATTATCTGAATCAAGATATCTTATCAAACATCAAATTAAAAAGGTTCTATGTATGTATAAGCGATTCGACATTTTGTTTAACATAGAACGATTAATTGGTACTAGTCAATAAGCGTATCCGTATTGAACGCTTTTCACTAAGTGATTTTCATCCTTTTTGCCATGTTTACAAAAATAATCTCACTACGTTCTTCTGAATGTGTTTGCGTTGTTATGCAGTCTTTCCCACTCGTGCAGTGATCGAAATGATCAGCAGGGATGCACTGTACGTATTCTGTTATTAAAAAAGCTGCATAGCTACATTTGATTTATAACCGTACGCTTGCTTGACTAAATATTTGACTGTATGGTTAATGTAGATGAAATCCCAAAATGGAATTTAATTGCATGTGAAGTTCTATAAAAATTGCAAGTAACTTTATTGGTAATTGCCAATAAAATCAATAGCATTTTTTTCGAATAAATCGTAGTTCAAGTTTGAAAATTCACATTCAAAAATTAGTCAGAGTACCCATGTCGCACAAACCGATCGAAAACCGGCGCGGTTAACCGCGGTCAATTTTTATAAAAATCGGTTAACCGCGGTTATTTAAGCCATTTTAGCGACTTTACAGCATAAAAACCAACGGTTAACCGCGGTTAACCTCCCAGTTAACCGGAAAAATAACCGGACAGCTAGCGACATAACCGATGACTTGTCCGGTTAACTGGGAGGTTAACCGCGGTTAACCGTTGGTTTTTACGCTGTAAAGTCGCTAAAATGGCTTAAATAACCGCGGTTAACCGATTTTTATAAAAATTGACCGCGGTTAACCGACGGTTTTCGATCGGCTTGTGCGACATAGGTAATTATTGAAGCAATTGTTTTGCTAAAGAAATAGAAATGTAGCTTCTGGGAAATAAAAATAGTCTGATAGAATTTGACTATTATCTCTTTTTGCTGTCTAATAGCTACGGTGTAGCTGTGAAAACTGCATGTTGTCAAAAGAAAGATTTATCTGATATCTCTAGTTACTGACACGTTCGGCAGTGGTTAGCATTATCTCTTATCAAGATAGCTGCATTGCTGGAAAAAGTGTGTAACAATGAAGAAAGATCCTCACCTATTGCACTTCCTACATTTTTCAGCATATAAATACTCTAGTGATTGAATATCCAATCAAAATTCAAAATGGTATTTATTGGTATTTCAAAACTGAGTAAAATTACGTGAAGCAAGTAAAAATTCCCAGCACTTTCCATAAAAATACAATTGAACCACTTTGTTAAATAAGATTTCGCAACTCACCGAAAATGAATGGTTAATTTTATTCACGAATAAATAAACAGCATCGATATCGATCAACAAATCAGCACAGTAATGAGTGAATCAGTACAGCATTCGACAGATCTACTATGATGGCTTCGTATTAGCGGTCTCAATGTTGCCAAATAAATTTAGAATCACGTGAAACTCATAAAAAACGATGTTTTCTAATATCAAGAATTTGATTAAAACTGAAATCGTGAAGCATCCTCATCAAATAAATATTCTTTTACGAGCAGTCATAGTAAGTTGATGGACACAATAATTAATCTAGACCGAAATGAGACACAGATAGATTTAGTTACTACTTTGCTGAAAACCCTATACGCTACAGGACAGATATCGTATGGTAATGATTTGAAGTAGAGTTAACACTTAAGTATTCTTACTATTCGTTCGTATGTAATCTCTCTTTTTTTAAAGATCATAATAGATCATTTGAATGTTTCAACTATAGTTCATTTTTTGTGATATTTAATATCATAGATCTTTCTCTCAAAAACCTAATATGAAATGCGATAAAATTGTGTAAATATGACGCATAGACTGATATGAGTCGAAGGATAGAAAGCATACTTGCGTACTTTTTCTATTAAAATTTTCACAATCATCACGCTTCTAGTCCTAAAATCATACACTTACTTTTTTGTAATTGAAACGATGTAACTGAAATAAAGTCACGATGATTGCTAACGATAAATACAATCGAATTGCTATTAACTCGGTCTGTTTTATTCTTGAAGACGAGGTAAGGTTAAATCCAACGTAAATAATGATGTAGGGATCTTTTTTTACGATCAACATGTTTGCTGTACACATTTAACTAAGAAAATGTTACAGAGGAATATTCTCATTCTCAGTCATTTATCACCAAGAATAAACTTTATATTATGAATCATAACAACATGATTCGTACTGGCCTACGGTTGCACTTTTTTTTTAAATATAGGAATCCTTAGAGAATCAGGGTTGTCAAAAATATAGGATTTTCGATAAAAAATAACAAAAGAGAGGACGTTTTATAGACCGATTCTGTTCAATTGTGTTGGTGTTTTTTAGCTGCTATGCTCGAAAATCGTTTTAATGAAGCTGTTATAAACAGTTCACCCGTAGTCAAGATCCTTATGCAATTTTTTCTACTGAAATAAGTCGCTAATTCGAGGATCATTATAAAAGTTTTTCATAAATCGATAAATAACAATAAAGTAGATCATAAGCTTTGAAAAAACGAATACATGAAAAAGGCAAATACTATTTCTCATAATTAAAGGAGACGTTTCAGATTACGGACATGACTTCTCAAAAAATCTCAACCTAATTTTATGGTCCTGATAATCAACATTCATTGCTTATTATTTTTTACAAGTTTATTTTGTATTTTATCACAACTCAATTTTTTCTGGTAATAAATAAGTGTACATGAGAATGCATATATACAGGATGGTGTAAAATTTCACGGGCTTTCAGAATATATCGTTACTTTTAAAAAAATATGTTCTTTTCGTAACAATATCCTCAAAATATAGAGTGAAACTAATTCTTTCCAGGGGTGTGTGTGTGTATATGCAGTTTTTATATCTAACTAAAGCTTCACTAAAAATCCGAAACTAGTACATAATCACCTTGTGAATGTTTTTTTCTTTTGAACTATTTTGTATTTTGTACTTAGTATTAAACAATTTCTCAGTCAGCCAACTAAATAGGCGAAAGGAAAAATACTGTTTAAAACAAATGTCACTATAGTACATGAATTTGTCTAAATGACATGATTATATACATTAGAAGTTTTTTTTTTCGTCTAAAAACAATAGCAAAATTAAGAACCTTTCGGAAATTTTCTACTTTTTTCGATAAAATATAGAAAAAATAGGTCGAATCGCAGTCCAGAATTCGTATGATTGATGATAATCTTTGCAATGCCAGCTAAATGATTCTATAGTGATCGTCCATGCCACGGCAACAGCACCGATAATATTTTTTCCCCATTAAATGTCGTTTTTCGAGAAACAATGCCGTCATAAGCGTGTAATATGACAATTTAGATTTGAAAGTCATCAATGTTTATTATGCTTACACATAACAGGTAAATGAATCATTTGATGATTGAGTATAAACGAGGGAGAAACGGAGTCATTTAATCTTTCAGAAGACAAAATTTGTGTTCTGTTTGTTAACTGTAAAAATCTCAAGTGCTTGCCCATTATAAACATTCATGCATGCACACTTCATTTTTTTATTGATTCTCATTATATGTTGCTAAAGGCAATATCGTAACTCTCTTCTGTTTACAAATGCTCCATTAAGAATCAGTAGCAAGACGAAACTATTCGATGTGATATAATTTTCATTTCATTGGCATTTTTTGTGCATTTGAATATAATTCACCAGAATAATTTTTCTTTTGAACACATGATGTTGTGTTTTAGTAAACTGTCGAATACAATATTTATGAACAAAAAAAAATATTGAGATAGTGTTTAATGATTCGGCAAATAACTTTAGTGAAAATTGAATAAGCTAGACTTTAATTTATTTGAAAGCAATATTTGAAGAGTTATTTTCAAAATCAAATTAAAAAATAGAGATTAGATAAATAAATTAGAATTACTACAGTCAAGATTTGTATGACTTTAAAAAATTCCGATTAAATACTTGCATTGATACGGATTTTTTCATCAATTAATTCGACAGAACTAATTGCTGCAGTTGAACGATACCTCCATGAGAAATTCCTATGGTATTATCACATGTAAAATAAGTCTTTCACTCGTACAATAGTCTTTAAGTTCAATCAAGAAAAGAACAGTATTACTTTGGTGATCTTGCTCAAAATAATATAAAAACTATCGCCATCTATTGATTCACGCAATACAATATTCTAAATGAAAAAAATATTAATTTGAACGAATTTCCGATTATATCAGCTGCTTAAAATGTTGTCATAGATTAGCTTATGCATTCATTAGCCAAACCAGGCGATTTTTTTCTCATGTTGATACATTCTTCCCTCGAATTCCCTCATGCTCCTACTTCATTATTGTTTGCCGATTACGAATCGTTGCTTGTGAGTTGCTTCGCTAGTAAAAAGTAGTACTCCAACTTAAAGGTAAACATGACAATCATTCTGACTCAGTTGCAGGACAAGAGAAAATAAATTCAAGTTTTGAATTACTCTTCTTTATTTTGCATTAGTTGGCTCCAAAATAGTTTCAAAGTCGACTTATACATATTCGTTAAATCATTTGATATTCAATGATGAACTCGATGGATGATCCATGAAGTTTATTATGGTGAGAATCAATTCTTATCTACTTGTGTAATAGTTTTTTCGTCTTAGCAAACAATTCAAAACGTAATCTTGCTATTACGTATATAGAATAAATCAAATTTTCTATTTAAAATTTTCATCTCAATAATCACTCTGGAAAACTTGTGAAGGTTCTTTTGTGAAAAAATTCTTTGCTTGTGCTGACTTTTAGTTATTATTATTAACGATAATTTTTATTCTCTACATTATTGTTTTTGTTATAGTTTCAATTCAACATCTTTCTTAACGATCAGAAAAATCTTAGAACAAAACCATCTGAAGTTCTTGCACAACTTCGCAATTCAATTTCATCTGAACAAACCGTGTATATTGTGAAACTTCTACTATGAATTTTACAATCTATGGACAATTAACTCTTGTCGTACAAAGGTAAAGTCTATAAATGAGAAAATAGTTGTCAGTATCAACAAATTTTGCATAGAAAACAAGCGTTTCTTGAGTTCATCGTCGAATAGTTTTATTTGCCCTACGAGTCAACTTTACTTGAAATATTCTAGCGGCTACACATGTTCCCAAATATAGTTATTGCTCTACTTACAGGTCTTATGTTAGGAATAACATTGATTAAATGATATAGGTGAGTTCCACATTTCACGCTTAAAGAAGTTGCACTTGCAAGTTTTAATAGTATTAAAAAAAAGTGTGAGTTTGCCTTTGAGTGTCACTTGAACTATAAAATAGATTTGTCGCTACACTCTCCTATACAACCCATCCCATTTATCGCTTCTCAGAAATATTTTTCTAAGTTTTTCTTTATTCATTTATGTGATACAAGTCTACCGAAAAAAATAACCGAGAAAATTGGCTTATGTTTAATGAATGAAAACACAAATACATATAAAAAAACTGGTGAGGATGCATAAGAAAAAAGAAAGTAGCCTCGGTTAACGATCAAATGTCTCTGGAAACAAAATAAACGAGAACTATCAACAGGAAACGCAGTTTAGATAAGAGAAATTTCGAAAAAACGCCAACACCATATCTTGGCAATCATGATTTTACCGCCGAAAAAGCACTCCTTCAGAATAATCATCAAATCCAATCCATGTTTGTGTTTTAAAATTTAAGCTAGCGTGAAAAAGCTGGAATAATTTTTGTATAGTTTCAACAAACAGAATACCACATTATAGTATTCTAACCAGAATATCTACTGAAAACTCTTGAATGATGTTTAATATAGTTGCTTAAATTCAAGTTGGTAAATCTAACGAAATAAGCAACTAACAAATACAATAACGAGATATTTTACAAAATAGTCAAATATTAGAAAAAAAACGGTTAAGGAAGCAGTCTAATTGAAGTCTAGAATATATGAGTTTTGACACAACATTAGTCGAATGCTTGAGCTCAGAATATTTAAGTTCTTGATATAGTTCACTTTCAACTATCATTTCTTTACGTTAGGGAAGTTAGCACAAGATTCGAGCTTTTTCAACCCGGATTCGCCTATATGGTTGTGTTGAATTTCATTTTTGTTGTGTTGGATGCAGAATTTTGTGCTGAATCGAATGGTGTATTTTTTAAAGGGGGTTGCCGATCAAAATCTGGCACTTTACCTGGAAATACTGCTTTTTCTGAAAATCTTGTCGAAGTAATTTCAGCCCGGATTCACTGCTTTAGCTGTGTTGAATCTGAAAATGGTTGTATTGAATTCAGCATGAAATTCTGCATCGAATGATGCTAAACTTGTATGGGGTCATCGATCAAAAAATTCCTGGTCTCACCCAAATCATCCCTCCAAATCTATATTACAACCCCACCCAAGTCGAAGAGCTTTGGTCGATGACCCCATACAAATTTAACATTATTCGATGCAGAATTTCATTCTGAATTCAATACAACCATTTCCAGAACCAACACAGCTAAAGCAGCGAATCCGGACTGAAATTACTTCGACAAGATTTTCAGAAAAAGCAGTATTTCCAGGTAAAGTGCCAGATTTTGATCGGTAACCTCCTTCTAAAATTACACCATTCGATTCAGCGCAAAATTCTGCACCCAACACAACGAAAATGAAATTCAACACAACCATATAGGCGAATCCGGGTTGAAAAAGCTCGAATCTTGTGCTAACTTCCCTAACGTCATTTCTTTACAATGGAAAGCATGATGCTTTTTGGTCTTTGAAAATCGTTTAATCTATCAGAGGGCACCTATGCCATCGCAAATGGGTAGTAATCGAAATCTCTCCAGCAAAAACTTCGTAGTATATTTCAAATTGTAGAGATTTCACTAAACTATCTCTTCTATTTCTCTTACACATTCGAATGTAAGGTTTGCACAAGTAGATGTTGACATTCTCAATTTTCACATGTGCTCTGTCTTTATATTTTTCTCTAGCAACTGTAGAGATTAAGTAAATCGTTTCACCAGTACGCCAGGTGAACTTTCACATCGTGAAAAACGTCCACTGTACTCTCGCTACTGTGGTAATATTCATTATACTCTTGCCAGTTTACCTTCCGAACATTCGTCGATTAATTATTATCCACTATACTCTCGCTGACAAGCTAGCTAGCCGCTATCCACTATACTCTTGCCAGTAACATATTCAGCACTGCCCGAACTGGCAAAAGTATAGTGAATATTAGTTGATTAGCTAAAGTTAAATTGATCCTATTAAAAATTCATATTGTTTATGAAGAAAAATAGAAGCGAAAGAACGTTTGCTAAGCATTCTCAGATCAAGGAAATTCATTGTGTATGATAAGGATCAGAATTTCGCTTTGCAGATTATTTTCATTAATAATTTGTGTTGATTAATTGCATTTGTTCCTACTCGATCGATTATGTAAGACCTCACCTATACTCAATAATTTAAGTCAAGCTGTAGAAACACTTTAAAATCAAATACTAATTTGATTTTTGGTGCTTCGACGATAAACAAACTATGTGTACTGCAGAAAAGTCATACACGAACCCAAGGGGGAAAGCGTATCCTACGATCCTGTGGGATTCTAGATTCCAATAGATCTTGTCGGCTCCTGATGGATCCTCATGGCTTCTAATAGATAATCATAGGAACCGACGGAAGCAATGAAGATCCACAAGGATTCGTCAGAATTCATCAGGACCTGACAGGATATATTGGGGTCCAGATTCCACCAGGATCTACGTTTTATCCCTTGTACGAATCTATCAAGAATTATAAATATTCAGAGTACAAGCATCAAAACAATGCTCAATCAAATCTCATATATTCTAGACTTCAAAGATATACTACTGAAACTATTTCACCTATTTACCACACCATTCCTTACTCAACTACAATTTACCTTGCAAACTATCTCTTAATTTTTGTTACTTCTCAGGGACTAGTATTATTCACATCGCGCGGCCTATCATTAGTGTTTGATGTATTAGGCGATGTCATTATATTAAAAATTGTCTGAGGTAATTGTGTTTCATCACTTGGCGGTAATGTTAATGTTACTGGTCGATTCGTAGGCGATATTAGTGTTGGCTGGGATTGTGGTTGTTGTTGTGCTTTTCTTTCTGATTCTTGTTTGATCAATAATTGTTGAATGTGCATCGGCAATCCAGGATTGAGACTCAATGCATATGGTAATAATGTCTTTGGCATGTCACCGAAATCCACCATAACTTTAATAAACATTGTGTCGTCTCGAACGTATGGATTGCCTTCTTGTTGAATCATTGCCAATGGAAAGAATTTAGGTATACCACTAGCTATATTCATTTCTGATCGTGGTCTTTGAAAACTATTCGATTTAATATCTGGTCGAAATGAATCGATGATGTGTCTTTGCTGAGGTGTTTGATCGTATAAACAAAATGTGACTTTGTAATTGAAAGGAAACTTCAAGATGGCATCGTTTGGTCCACGCATTAAAACGAAAAATAAAGACATATGTGTACGTCGAGCATTTCCGTCTCCATTTAAGTAAAGACGAGCTCGCATCTTATAGCCAGTTGGTGATGAATAAAATGGAGGCGAATAAATCGATGTTTGCCGTTCAGATTGTGCATCCGCTAAAAAAATAATTCAATGAAAATATTCTATGAACCTTGACGATCTCTGTTTGGATCATAACGCATGATCAGGAATAATATAGCATTCTGATATGCCTTGATATATTCTAGTGAATTGTTCGGCTCTGGAATCCTTCTCTGACTACTTATTTATTTTTGAAATCTAAGATAAATTATAGTGGCATTATATGTACAACAATTATCTCGTCTAACAATAGTAACTATATATCTTACGGTATCATCAAGCATTGAAAAAGAAACTGCAAAACATTCTCCAAATCAATAATGTAACTTTCTCTTGTTCTCAAAGTAAAGCAAAAATGTTGCCTAGTATTCCAAGACTGTTGTTCTCGGTGCTGCTGATGCTAAAATTAATTACACTGCCTACAAGTCTTTCAATTTATATGACAAATGTTACCCTATTTATTTGGTCAATAAATTTCAAATTATTATCTAGAAACAAACAGTCTAGCTTACTCATTTTTTCATTGAAGCTAACGATTTTCCATATCAATGTTGCATCGTAAGATACATATTGCAAATCGTCAATTTTTTGTTTTAATGATGCAACATCTTGTTGAAGAATCTCCTGATTAGGTTTGACACCATCAAGAAAAGAGCTTTGCTCTTGTACATTCAATTTAAGCGATCCAATATCTTGTGTCAACGATTCTATTGAACTTTGTAATTTGATTGATTCACTACTAAGACGTTGTGTATCATCATTTAACGTTTGAATTCCACCAGCAAGAATGTTTATCGTTTCATAGATTTCTTGCATTTGTGAACTGATATTTTCACTTGTAGTTGTCATCATTGTGCTAGAGGCACTCTGTCCATTATCAATATCCATGCCTAGAACTCGCTCGTGTGGTTCGTTGAGAGCTTTAGCTTCTAAAAGTCGTATTGCCTTAATTATTGCTTTTTGATGACTTTCAGTTAAATAATGTTCTGGTAATTCAGCTCGACAAACCTAAACAGATCGCACATATAAGTTCACCTAATGATTCGTATTATTGAATGACAAAGATAATGGAACTATTCCATTTTAATAGAATATCTTTATCTTAATAATTGATTTTAGGTAAACCAACAAGAATCAATCTCTAGTTTTGCTTTTATCAAATAAGTTCTTGGTTTCGTTAATACCAACTTACCGGTTCTGAGCAACCAAATTCTTTTAGCGGACAAGGTACAGTAATTTTTGTGCATTCTTTTTGTTTGTGTTCTTCAAGTCTTGTTGTTGAATTGAATCTTTCTTTACAAAACTCACACATTGGATTAGGATGTGTACTTTTCAGATGTTCCTAAAATAATAATTTGAATCATATTCTCATTACAATTAAATAAATTATACTCTTTTTTACCTCGTAATCCTTAAATAAGCCATTCCATAGACAGAATGAACATATTATCAGTAGCGCTTTCATATCATTTTTAAAACCTCTATCTGGCATTATCTGTAAAAGAAACAAATTACTTTCTAAATAGAAAGAAAGTTTGATGATATTAACTTCGTTTTTCTGTGTCTGTTCCGAACACTCTGTACATTGAATTACAGGCCTTGATGGAAAAAAAATTCAATATTACAATGAACTCAAGAATTTCTTTTTACATACCCTTCAGCATTTTCTATGCAAGTTTTACATTGCCGATGTCCACACGAAAGTTGACATGGTTCTCGTAAAATCAGATTGCATAGCCGACAAATGAACGATCCATTGATAGTATCTCTGTTTCTTGCGTCAAAACCAACCATAATTGGGTAATACTGTAAAGTAAAAATGTGTTACGAAAACTAATTGGTGAGCTTACATTCGGATGTTTTTTTGTATTCTTTTCAATTTTATTTTCATCAATCGAATGTAATTTCGAATCTAAACATAATCAAACTTTTTTCTCGCGCAATCGAAAAATAGGTAGAGATACTACAGCATCGTCATGTTCACATAACTTAGTACATGGTTGCGCTTGTGGGCAGTCTGATATGAACGTGAAAGAAATTTTGGAAAACAATAGCAGAAAAGAATCCATGTTAGAATAATTTTGCTTTAGTTTAAGTTTCAAGTTTTCGTGTGCTAATCAATGTGAGAAATAAAATAAAAACTACTTTTTAATAGAGGTTTCCTTTTGTATTCCTAGAAATCAACACTTTAACTTCGTGTACATTAGATTCCAATTAAAAACGCTGCATATAAAATTACAATCTTCCTTGAAGACAGTATTTCGAATTTCATAATGTAGTCACGTCAGTTTTATTAGCTGTAATATTTTCTTTAAAACAAAAAAAAGATCTTGCACGACCACCAGAAAAAAATAAAGATTGTATTTATGAATAAATAAATGTGTGTTCCAACTTAGTCCTCATTTTATCAACGAATCAGATACGAACAACGTAGAGTTGAATCTAACTTCATAATTGATTGGTGGCTTTTGGCACCAATAGATTTATTGCGCTTTAGTAGATGAAGAATATTATTTTTGCTTTTAGAAAAGCACATTGACTCCCGCAGTTCAACTTGAACACGAAAAAAAATCCCTTCAATGTGAAGTATGATTTTAGGTATGTGTCTTGTTCAACTTTTTATCTACAGTTATAACACAAATGTTTAATCAGTGAAAAACGTTAGGGATCGATAACAATGGAAAGTATATTATAAGAAACAGCCTTCAAGTTTCACGAAAGCGTACATCAACTTTTTTCTAAGAATAATTTAAAGTGTTTGAACTTATTATCTTTCTAACAATAGAAATAATAAGAAAAAATGAATGAAAACAAATTATTTGATGCTCCAAGTAAAATAACAAGTTTTAAATGTTTCTACTTAATTTTAAGCACAAAAGTGGCCTGATAAATATTTTTCTACTTTTAGGATTGCTTGTGAAAGTAGCGGATCGGACATCACAAATAAGGATGCCATTATTTACATTTATTTCGATTGAATCTGATTCTGAACAAAATGATACACAAACGAATCTAATAGAACAAAATACTAAAACTTTCTTGTAGCATTATTACAAAGCCCTCAATTTCAATAACTTTAAAAACAACTAGCAAAAGATAGGCAAGAAGAAATGATCTTGAGTTCATAAACAATTGTGTATCATAGATATTAAAGATGGCAAGATATTTATTAGAGTGGGACAATGGACAAAGAGCATGTATATGGGTGTGGGTGTGGGTGTGTGGGTGTGGGTTACAGAACACAGCACAGAGCCAAATTCACGCACAACCACGCACACACACCCACACCCTGATGGTTGGAAAGTACCAATTTGTGGAGGTCTTTACTTTTCATGATTAAAAATTTTTTCGTAGTAGAATCTGAAAAAAACGCCTACATAGTCTTGTAGAGAATTGAACGGGGAATCTTTTGGAATAAAATTTTGATCGATTGGGTGAAAACCGGTGGAGTTATAGACAAAATAAAAAAAGTCCGGTTCTTTATGCGCCACCAGTTACTTTCTAGAGACTAGAATGCTACTGAAAAATTATTCAATCCGAATAAATGAGAACTAGAGAAGATTATGAGATCTGTAGTCTTTTCAGTCTATCGGTATCGGTTAGAAGAAATAAAATAAAAAATATGTTTATTTGTGCTGTCTTACTTTGCATGCGATGGATCGGATTGCTATCATGTAACTAAGAAAAATATTCATATGTCAAAATATTCTCTATGACTAATTAGCTTCCTAGGAAAACACCTTTGTGTATATAATGTTTTCTTTTCTGGTTTCATAAATATTTAACATGTGCTACTTTATCAACAAATGAATCATTTATTGCTTCAACTTTTACCAACCATTATTCACCCCATCGTTAAGAGTGTGTGAGAGTGTGAGTGGGAAACATATGTCGGAGTTGACTCCAAAATGCAGTTGCTTTTAAAAGGTAACTACTTGTCTTTAAAATTCAAGAGTCAACTGGGATGTAGCTAGTTGACTCTTCAATTTTAAATACAATTAGTTGGCATTAAAATCAACTGGATGGAGCTAGTTGACTTGAGGGTGTGGGTGTGGGCGTGGGTAAGACTCAAAATCATACCCACACTCCACACCCACCCACCCACACCGACACCGACACCCACACCCACACCCACACCCACACTCCGACATATACACCAACACCCAAAATATCATGGAAGTTTCATTACACTTCCTATATTAAATAGCACATGGCAAAAAAAGCACATGGTATGAGTCAATACCGACTGATTGGTTGGTTTTGGACCTACATATGCTCCTCCTATTTTTCATTGCATGTAGTAGTTGAAAGAATAGACGGAAGCATGTATGAAAAAAGAATCGTGCAATAGCAGATAAAAATAAAATAATGCGCCATTGAAACATTTTCTATTCATTTACTTTCATTTTCATTTTCATTTTTCTAAAATCTTTGTTTATTCTTTTGTTATTTCTTTGAAATTTGATTTCGGTATTTAATATAATCATGACAAACAATATTGCTTTGAATACTGAAAAATCTCCGTTACTTGGTCATCAATTATTGACCGACGAGAATAATTCTGTTCGACACATTTTACAGAATAAAGAAGAGAAACCCTATTTATCATATTTTAAATTATCATCAGATGATAATCGAAATATTAATTTAACAAATTTTCAAGATCCATTCTTCTATGAGCAACCATTAGATTTTAACTATCATAGATTAATGCCAGCTGTAATTCTATCAGAAAATGAAATAGGTTTTCGGCAATATTATAAAGAAAATTCTTTATCATCACATCGAAATGGCATAGAAAGAAGTGAATCAATTTCTCGAAAACATATGAAACCAATGAAAACTAATCAGAAAATAATAAAAAGAAAGGAGATAAAGAAAAAAAGATCTGTCGAAAACGAAAACCGAAAAAACTGCAAAAATAAAAACGCTCACAGAAATTATTTTAAACAATATGAACATAAGGTTATGTTTTCTAAGGCAAAAAAAATTCAACAAGAATTATTATCAAAACGAAAGAAGAAACTATCAAAACAACATATTCGATCGAAGAAAAAATCTATATTAAAAGGAAATACCAGCAGAACTAGCAATCAAAAAAAATCATCTCGTCAATCTTTGACTTCAACATTTAAAAGAAGTCGTTCATTAACTCGATCCAAAGCAGGAAAAAAACGTAGTAAAAACGCACTTCGGTCAAATGCAAATCGAGCTTTATCTAATTTTCGTAAAATATCAAATAAAGTCAAAGATGAAACAAGTCTATTAACTCTTAATCCAAATTTACGATTGAATAATCATCAGATGATGAAAAGTAAGTCAAAAACAAAACAAAAGTTTACTTTTAAGTTTTCGAATTTAAAACATGTGAAGATTTTTTCTTTGTTTTATTTCGAATATGGAAAGAGCTAAAATAGCTCTCTGAACTAGGTCCAAAATTTTCAAAACTAAAATAAGTTTGTTTTATCTGGTTTGCTATGCCAATAGTCATGCCATATATCGAATTTACTTGAGTCTTGAAAGTATGACGTTCGTTTTTCTCATTTTATTTTGACTATTTTGTTCTATGAGAGAAAGAATGAAACATACTGCCGTAAAACAAGAAATACTAAAAGTGTAGTTGGCAGCAACTCACTTGATTACGTACAGGAATGAAAAAGATGTGTGATATATGTAGCTAGAGATTAAATAATTGCTATTGAGTATAAATAGACATCTCTCTGATTATTTTGTTGTTCTATTGCTATGAGACTAATTTAAAAAACACAAATTTGTTAAGAAAGCGTAGGTTTTGTTTTAGTAACAAACAAAGTAGAGAATCAGACGCCTACTAACACATTAGCGTCACCCTGCCTACGTTCACAGACGATTGAACAAGCGCACCCGTATGTTGCACACAATCAAAATTTATTCAGAGAAAAATCTCTTCGGTCAAAATTCAATTTAACTCAAGTAGAATCATTGAAATCAAAGAAAACAAAACAAAAAATTCCTATTTGCTCAAAACTTAATAAAAAATTGTCAAAAACTGTGCGCCATTATCGAAAATCTCAATGTGGAAGATACAAAACACAATCTTCTCAATGTAAATCAAAGACATCAAGTAAGATGCACTGGATCTAATCTAAAGCAATAATAAACAAAATGTTCTAAAAGGAAATAAAATTCTTAAGTTAGTTCTTCATAACTATAAAAAAAAGCAGCTGTTAGCGCTACTCCTGTAAGACTGAAACGAGAATAGCGACATCCATGTTTTAAATAGTGATCGTGAGTTCATTTCATCTTATTCACTTTAAGGTATCCTCTTGGTTTCTTTCTTCTTACAATAATGCACTAGTCATTTAGTCTATATATTGTAGTAAAACTTGATCTATATACTACAGTCCGTAGTTGTCATATCATGTTTTCATCACAGTTTTTATGAGTGTTTCAATTCTTATCGTATAGAGTTGAATCATTTTTTGTAAAAATATTATAAGAGTCATGTGACATCATTGAATGTTTTAGTAACAACTGCGCCAAATAATAGAAATGATCGCAATAATGTAAAATTCATTGAAATGAAAATATCACCATCATTATCAACACTGAAAAATAGTTTAAATGAAAATATCTCGTCAATATCAACAATAATGCCCTTAACAAAGAATAATGTACAATTAACGAGTAAAAATAATAACAGACGCGCTTGTAAAAATAAACACACACGAAATATTTTGGGATCAACACAGTCAGAACGAAGACTAATGACGATAACAGGTACTGGAATGATTCTTCGTTCAAAAAACATTTTGAGAAATGGACTTAATCTGATGCAGCGAAAAAACTGATAACGGCATGGTATTAATCAAAATATTTGTGTTTGCCTTTTATTAGTATATGACATATAAATTACTTCAAATATTTGGTTTGAATCAAAAGAAAAGTTTTTTTCCAAGGCAAATATTTGACCAAGATATTTTATCATGTTTCACTTGAGCAAAGATATTTTGAGAGTGTGGGTGTAGGTGTTTCTTATTGCTTTTTTGAAATCATTAAGATTTTCTAAATTTTGTTTTGGTAGCTGTGATTGGAACTACGTTTCACGTAACTAGCTGATTAAAAGACCGATTTTTCAGTTTAATTTTATTTCTAGTTCTGTTCTATTTTTCGTAACGCCATGTGCAATACGAAAATATGATATTCATTATCGTATATCCAATACGCTGTAATTTACTCTCAGCTATTTTAATGTTCAAAAGAATAAATAGTTTACAGCTACATCCATATCCAAACTCACACTCCTGGTTAGGATGCCAGATGTAGTTAATTAATCAATTCGTTAATAAATTAGCTAGTCAGGATGAAATTATATTCCTAGAATGGATCGTATTTGATTCGGTATTTTTCGGTTAACAATGTATTCGACTAAGATAGAATCGGCGAAAATAATTGTCGGGGAAGTTAAAGTTGGCGAAAAATACAGTTCGACGAAAATGAAATTTACCGTTATTTCAACAATGCATTCAATACTAAATTGTTTGAAAGAAGAAGTGTTTCAATTTTGTTCACTAATGATTGCGCATATGATTGAACGATGTTCGATGGGCCCGTCCGTATTTTTACATTACTGAGATTTTCAGTTTATATTTGATTGTTTAATATATTTTCGATGTTGTTTTTTCCCCACTTGCAACCAGCTTAAAACAATCATTTAGTATTGATGTACAGAAATGGTTACGAGTGGACGTCATTGTAAATAGGCTTGACAAAAATTTCACCTTCAAGGTAGTGAGCCCGAATTTGGCGTGAACTAAAGTTTATTCTCATTGAGCTTTCTCGAAAGGATCACAAATCGACCGACAACCAAATGTTGGCTTTATCAGAGCAAGTTAGAGAGTCGGCTAAACCATGCACTTGAATGTCAGCAAGCAATACTGGTTGATTGGTTAGAAAAATCTAGTATTTTCGGCTAAAGACGTTGTCTGAATAATCTCACTTTTCTTGCAGAGACTACTATTCCCAAGTCGAGCAATCCAACAGTGGGAACGAATCGGAATCCACTCAATCCGACTCGCATCCAATAGGATCTTATCGGATTTTGTCGAACCCTACAGAACTATCATCGGATTCCGGGCTCCGGATTCGAAGTTGGATTCTCCGTGTTGGATTCCTATGAATTCCAAAGAAACATCCGTTGCATGTCATCGGAAGTTCAATGGGTTCCGACCAGTGGTACCGACGTCAATTCCTCGACCTGGCATCCTATAAGATTCTGTCTGACGGTAGGACACTATCAAGTTCCTGTTGGATTCGATGTGGGGTTTCTCGACGTGGGTTCTTGTACAGAAAATACAATCGCGCATATAAGAAGACAGATTATAAAAGGATGGCGTAGTATGTGCTCTACGGTGTATGTGTGTGTAACTATGACTGTAGCTATAAGTGTGGGTATGCAGATGCCTGTTTGTGCGGCTGTATATGAAAACATGAACCTAGTTGGAACCAGCAATCCCAGTTACAACCTACGGCTACATATGCATCCAAACACACCCACACCCACGCCCTCACAAATATTATTCATTTTCTTCATTAATCATTGCACTTCTATTTCATTCAAATTATTTTCCTTTTAACATGCGCACTAATGACAACTAAAATCGTGTCTAAACAAGTCAGAAGTATTTCAATAAATAGTCTTCACAGACGAAAATTTCACTCATTTTATACCATACATGTGAAATTAACTCATTGTTATTAAAGCAGCGAGAAAGCAAAATGATTAAATGGCTCACTTACCACTTATTCGATCAACAGTATCCGTTAAGTGGTTGTTATGTTGGAATGGCACCAATAAAATATGAACGGATGATAATTGTAACAGGCTAGAGAAAAGTATAATAAAAAGACGTAAGAAGAAACATGTTCGACTACACATGATAGTGTTTACATCCAAGAAGTCATCCTTTCTTGGCAACTAGGTATCAGTTCCATCTGAACAATTTTCTCTATATCAACAACTTCTCTTATTTTATAAGGTAAAGTTCTATTAAAAAGATTATGAATAGTGTTCTACATGATATCCATTGATCTGAGAGTGAGAGAAAAATCTTATAGTTGGAAGTTAATTAGCTAAATTTTCAACCAACATCTTTTCTCTTCAATTTGTTTTTTTTCGCAAGTATGCTATTAAAATTTCGATATATTCACAATCAATTTAAAATGTTTGATTAATTTTATCAAAATTAATTTCTGATAAACGAAGGTCGCATTTTCATCTCAGAAATGTTTTTGAAAAAACATCGTCTAAGTTTTTCCATATGTGTAACTGACGATATACATATTGCCTGCATGAAAAGTATGAGTCTTATTGGCGATATTATATAAGTGAATTCTGTTTAAAATAGCTAGGTTGGTTTTTGTTAAAAATTAACGAAACATTCTTCAATAAAAGCCGTTTTATTATGATTTATCCTTAATTTACTACTGGAAAAATTGCAGTCAGATATATTCCGCGAAAGATTGTAGGTTAAAACATACTTACTTGAGTCTAGAATAACCTGTTGATAGTTGGAATTTTTCATTAAAAAAACAGTTGGAAAATTCCCACCATTAGTCATCAAATTAACACATAAAAGCAGCAATAAAAAGCAAAAAACATCAAACTACAGAGCACGTGTTCCTTCGTTCTGTGGACACAATGAGAAGAGAGAGCAAACAAATAGTAATGAAACGATATTCTTTTTTTCAAAACGGTTAAGATTCTATTTTAAAGGTAAAAAGGAATCATAGTAATGTATGATAATTTATTATTTTTCTTCCGATTGGGACACGTATCTGAGACATGAAGAAACTTTCATACAAAAGTAATAGATCAATTATAGACATGCTGTAATTAGATGTTTTCTCTTATTGTTTATGGTGTTATATTTTTTATGCAGCACTCTAAATGTGAATTGTTTTTCAGCGAAAAACAAATTTTTGTGTGTAATTTCCCTCAAGTAAAAATGGTAACATAGCAGGGCGTGGTGTGAGAATCTTCTATTCAGTCAGATCTTTTGTTTCTATATGTATTGCTTTTTAAAAGATTACTGTATTTTATGTCATGGTTTGCTATGCTTTCGATATTTTTGTCAGAACTGCGAAGAAACTTGCAAAAGAACTGATCTCAGTGGGTTTCTAATACACTTTTCCTTCTGAACTGCATTTCGCTGTTGTTCGACTGTTTTCAAAAGTGGAGAGTGCTAACCCTACGACAAAAGTGTCTTATCTTAATTTTTTCATACCAACTGAACGAATAATGCTGAGAGTTCATCGACTTACTGTAATATGTTGTTAAGAAAAACTGTCTTTTGTTCGATTTTCTTCCAGAAAAACGGCAAATAGTGCTTTAAAGCATGATTTACAACTGGATTTGATGTGAACTTTTTGAATTTGATTGAAACTCGGGTATGTCTCAATTTTTGGTGGCAGATAACCCCACCAACCCTGTTAATCCCCCAGCACCTTGTTTTTCTTCCGTTCTTTTTTCCAAGTCATGATGTACGTCCGTTCTATTGATATTCGTTATTTCATTTTTTCCAACTAAAATATTAACTGGCAGTCGAGGTGAAAAAATGTGTGAACTACTTTCTATCACAAACGACTCGTCAAAAGCGGAACTAACGTCTGGACTATTCATTGCAAATCCGCAGCATATGCTGTCAAATCTCAGGGCTTCGTCTTCTGAAAATCACGTCAAGGTATAAATACCTTTCACTATTAGTTGTTTTATGTAGATAATGTACTATAATTGCGACGTCTCATAAAAATAATAAAAGTAATATGAAATTATATATATATATATATACAGCATATTTATAAACGTGCACAAATTTCATTTCTTAACGTCGTAGTCATTTATGCGATGTTAGGATTTGCGTATATACAATTCTTTAACGTCATGTCACAAGCTATATTAAATAAAACGGCGACATAATCATGTAATCAAACATTAAAATAGCATTCAATGTTTATATCGTCACATGCATCCGCGATTCACGCAATGGAGATGTATCATTGATAAATTCTTCGAAACATGAGTTGATTGCCTATTGACTATTTATCTAATGATTCCACTGATGATGCATGAAATATTATTATTATTATAAACTTTCACAATATTAAAATCTCTGATTTGGCCATAGGTTCTACAGATATTTCAATAAAAAAGGTGTTATATCCCAGTTCGATGATTCCGGTCTCCAGATCCTTTCGGAACCGGTCTGAAAACGGCTTCTTTCCGGTGATTTCCCACCGGTTCCCTAGTCTTTCCCGCCGGGTCGTGCAGGAAAATCAATAGGAAGTGGAAGTAGTATTCCACCCGGAAAAAACCGTTCCATAAACCCTTAACTTTCTCGCAAATCCAGTCATAGAAAACTCTAAGGAACATACAATGATCCTAAAGGAACAGGGAGGATGAAATCAGGAATGTCAGCGGAAATTCACATCCAAAACGGAAAAGTAAAGGATACTGATGGGGAAAACCGGAAGCACAACGTAACCCACGATTCTGCATCCTGAAACAAATATGAAAGATTTACGAAGATCACTAGAGATCTTTATTGTGACTACCTTAGTCATAGGGTATTTCTGTGATTAGAAGATTCAGATCGATAGAAAATCATATTCTAAGATTTTTCCGCGAAGAAACGCTGTAATTCGAGCTTGTTGTAAGCCCGAAATCATGATTTTACTAATAAAAATCTTTGAAGATGATTTGTTCTATTTACCTTAATTATATGATATTCTGCTGATGGAGAGTATGACACTGATTGTAAATGTTATTCAAGGAAGATGAATAACAAGTCCAAAGTCCGATGTCGATTCTTATTTTCAATTATCATCGATTAAAATCAGAAATGGGGTTGAAATGATTTTGAGAAAGTTTTCGTATAAAAAAAGTATGCGAAGTGTTACCTGTGACTTATCTGAACAGATGTGTTCCGCATTTCGGGTTGGAACTTTGAATTTTCACTCATGTGGGTAGATTGGTGATATTCAGGGTGTTCATGTGTCACAGTTGACATGAGAATTTCAGTTGAGATTGGAATGCGTGAAAAAAAGAATTAATCGAAAAAATATTTTTTTCTTTTTTTTCTGCTCGTGATAATAGATTATTGAAAAACAAAATGGAGAAGAAATATTTCTCCGATAAATTCAATGTCCCCATGTTCCCATAGTTAAAAAATGGACAGAGTTGAATTATTTAAAAACTCATTGTAAAAAGATGCAAGGAATAATTCTCAATATAAAAATTTCTAAAGTCAGATCTCAACAAAAGTTCCATTAAAAAAATTAAGAAAAAACTATTCCAAACTCAACTAAATTCCAAACTCGCCTGCCACATATATATAGGTGAAGGTCGGCTGCTATGCAGTCTGAAGACTGTTTTAGTATTTCAATACTTTTTTTTTGAGCGCTCTAGTTTTTGACATATCTAACTTGGTTAGATTCGGAGAGAATGGTCTTTCTGCTCCAGTGCCTGCCTGTCAACTTCCGTTCGTATCTGTGACAGATGTGCTTGAAGACCTTTAAAATGATAACATTTGAGTATTTTGTCGGTTTTTAGACTTCCAAGAGATGGACGTTTAATTTATTGCTTTTTATGGTGTCGGTTTGTTTTGTATCAGATATTTTTTAACTCTTGGTAATTAAATTAATTTAAACCAGCTCAGTAGTGGTTTCGTTTACCTAGTTATCGTGCATTGTCGCGTGGGATTATCTGAGCTAAATAATATCTTCCAATTTGAAGACACAATTCAATAATCTATCGTGGCCTCTACTCAAGTACAATGCTTGTGTGGAATTGTAACTTTTTCTTAATATTCCGTACATTTGAACATTGAATATACAATTGTATTCTAGAGATTCTTTTGAGAGAGCGGTCCAGTTTTGTTGATTGTAAGGTATTAAAGTCATGTAGTTATAAGGAAGACGTTTTCGAATAGATCCTATCGTTTCCGGTTGCGGGATTAAACCGTCTGAAAGAAAATAAAAACTGTCAGATCTGGACGTTGCAACCGAATCGGAAAAGGAAGGAATATAGTTCGGATCCTGCTCCCGTAAAAAGGCGTCGGCACCCTTCCAGGAACTTTGCTGGAAATGGCAGCGGGACCCTGGCATTTCATCCGGTTGCAGGAATCAGCATGGAAGAAGCCGTAACCGGTCCCGGAATACTACTTCCCTGTTTTTGCGGGAATTTCACCGGAACCAACAGTTTCCCGCCGTACCGTTTGGGCCTGGGTATGACTATTCGCCCCATGATGTTCAAGTATCAAAATACCCTAAAGCAGCACCAAAGTGTCAGCACAATATCAGACGTATATGTGCAGAACTAATATATACCTGTTCAATCATAGTATTTCGTTATTCGAGAAAAATATTTATTCAATGATAAAGAGTATACAGTTAAAAAAAAATAGAAAAACCTGTAAAACAATTTTCTAAGTACTTTATCAATGTAAGGCGGTATGCATCTTATATGGACAACAAACCAAGAGTGGTTATAACTTTACAGAAATATTTTTCTGTTAATACTAGTATCTTATAACGCACAGAGATATAAACCATTTTCAAAGAATAAAAGTATTTTACGGGGTTAATAAATAGAACTTTGTCAACAGTAGGCAAGAGGAAAAGATCTTATCAAGAAAATGAATTCAAAATTTTCAATATTAGTAACACAATTTACATACTGCTTCTCATAGTTTTCGACGAAACACATGAATAGTAAATCTACATGCAATATGTTGGTTTGACTAAAATTATTATCGAGGAATATTTTAGTAAAGAAATCATTTTTCATAGCAATCTTACCGAATAATATCGTCCATTAGATCGGTGAATAGGGACAAAATATTTGATTGTTCAACAAACATCGTTTTCAAGATTTAATCGGAACATTATATAATGATAATTAAAAAAAAATTCTTTCTGTAATACCAGACTATCATATAGATTCAAGAAAGAAAGGCGTGCATCGAGTCGAGTTTTTGTCTTATGCTAACACACAAATGTCTTACTATTCATTTCTACGTTAATCAATGAAATCTTATTCTTAAACAACGCATATTGACAGACAGTACTCGATTATTGATGTATACAATGAATCACCATCGTGCACAATGTTTTTTTCTTTTCTTATTCTACACTTTCTCTCAAACACGAAAGAGGGTCGTGGTGGCAAGTAGATCATTGGTTTTCTATCGAATACTATGTACGAGATCAAGTGAAACGAATAGCTCTTACAAAAATAATGCATTAGCTAAATGAATTATTAACGAGATAGTAGAAAATAATAGTAGTCATTGAATTCCATTCTAAATTATATCATGTTTCTCGACTGCCCAATGATGCTTGATTCTTTTTTCATACAATGTTTTGTTATTTGATGAATATGACTTCAACTTTATTCAATAAAATTATCCACAACATATACGAGAAGGAGAATGAATAAAAAGAAGAAAAAACGAATAGCCGTATGATTTGTACGACAACACATAAGAAAACATTACCACTACGATAAACCCTATCATTTGTAGGGAATAAATCAACATAAACAGGTATTTATATCAATTGGAAAATTCCAACTATTGATGAAATATATTTTTTTATCATCAAAGTTCTGATTTGTTTTTTTCAATAGATTGATCGTATTATTTAACTCGAAAATTCTACTTTTGCCAGCCCTGCTATAATCCTCATGGTGTCCTTTTTTAAATTGACATGGTAACTTTCTGAAGCTCATAAGAAGATGTGTGGGTGTTGCTGTCTTCTAGGTTCATCTCTTCATATACAGCCATCAACATACCCACACTTCTAATAATTTCAAGACGGTGATTTTCAATCAGATGTTAATGAAGAACGCATGAAAGACTGATTGATTTTTTTCTCATTGTCTCCTTTTTTATGTTGTCAATAAAGAATCCAAGTCAACTAACTTTCAATAATCATGTTTGTTACAATGTGATGTTATTATTACAATTCTCTTGCCCTATTTTGATTTTATTAATATTTATGTATTTTTTTGAAAGCGTATGCAAGTCTTTATCGTTCTATTTTAATTTTATTTAGCTCTAACTCGAGTTCTCAACAAAAAAAACTAGCCAACAGATCTGCCTATGTTATAAAACAAATAATTATAAAAAGATTCCGAATGTATCACAGACTGAATTGGGACCGATTAATAAAAAAAATTTTGATAAAAATAGATAACAAAAAATAGAAAAGAAGTTTTATGGGGAATCTTGCTGACCATTGAAGTTATCTTCGTCAAGGTCTGTTTCGAGTGACTCTTTTGACAACGGTGGTTGTGTTGATGCTAATGGAGGATTTATAGGCATTGGTTGAGATTGCGGGTGTTCTTGTTTTTGCCCTTTTCGTTCTGCTTCTTGTTGAATCAATAATTGTTGGATATGCATCGGCAATCCAGGATTGAGACTCAATGCATATGGTAATAATGTCTTTGACATGTTACCGAAATCTACCATAACTTTAATAAACATTGTATCGTCTCGAACATATGGATTGTCGTCTTGTTGAATCATTGCCAATGGAAAGAATTTAGGTATGCCATTAGCTATATTCATTTCTGATCGTGGTCTTTGAAAACTATTCGATCTAATATCTGGTCGAAATGAATCGATGATGTGTCTTTGCTGAGGCGTTTGATCGTATAAACAAAATGTGACTTTGTAATTGAAAGGAAACTTCAAGATGGCATCGTTTGGTCCACGCATTAGAACGAAAAATAATGACATATGTGTACCTTGAGCATTTCTGTCGCCATTTAAATAAAGACGAGCTCGCATCTTGTAGCCAGTTGGTGATGAATAAAATGGAGGCGAATAAATCGATGTTTGCCGTTCAGATTGTGCATCCACTAAAAAAATAATTCAATGAAAATATTCTATGAACCTTGACGATCTCTGTTTGGATCATAACGCATGATCAGGAATAATATAGCATTCTGATATGCCTTGATATATTCTAGTGAATTGTACGGCTCTGGAATCCTTCTCTGACTACTTATTTATTTTTGAAATCTAAGATAAATTATAGTGGCATTATATGTACAACAATTATCTCGTCTAACAATAGTAACTATATATCTTACGGTATCCTCAAGCATTGAAAAAGAAACTGCAAAACATTCTCCAAATCAATAATGTAACTTTCTCTTGTTCTCAAAGTCAAGCAAAAATGTTGTCTAGTATTCCAGGACTGTTGTTCTCGGTGTTGCTGATGCTAAAATTAATTACACTGCCTACAAGTCTTTCAATTTATATGACAAATGTTACCCTATTTATTTGGTGAATAAATTTCAAATTATTATCTAGAAACAAACAGTCTAGCTTACTCATTTTTTCATTGAAGCTAACGATTTTCCATGTCAATGTTCCATCATAAGATACATATTGCAAATCGTCAATTTTTTGTTTTAATGATGCAACATCTTGTTGAAGAATCTCCTGATTAGGTTTGACACCATCAAGAAAACAGCTTTGCTCTTGTACATTCAATTTAAGCGATCCAATATCTTGTGTCAACGATTCTATTGAACTTTGTAATTTGACTGATTCGCTACTAAGACGTTGTATATCATCGTTTAACGTTTGAATTCCACCATCAAGAATGTTTATCGTTTCATAGATTTCTTGCATTTGTGAACTGATATTTTCACTTGTAGTTGTCATCATTGTGCTACACACTAAATAAGAATGCGTCGACTTTATGTGGTGCGAATTTTTGTGTTGTTCTCTCTATTAGAAAAATGTGTCGCACTTATAATTATAAAAACTGTGTCGTATAGTTTTCGCGTTCAGTCTGTCGACTAGTCGTTCACCGTTTTGTTATGAACATACAGCGACATATAAACAGCATCGCTGAACGCATGAAAGATAAGTTTTTAAAATAAAATTTTCTTTTAACTTAATTCTTGATTGCTGTTCAATCAAGGAAATGCCATCCCGATCCATGATCTGGGAAGGACCAATGCCAAATCAGTCAGCTCTGAGGATCTGATGAGATTAAATTTTCAAAAAATAAGGAAATATATTAAATTAAATTCAAAAAATATTGAAATATGCGTTTCGAAAACGACCAATAGAAAATGTGTCTGATGCATTGTGAAAAATGCGTCGTCGTCTTGCTGCACAGAATGTGTCGCAACGAGCACCTCGTATCGTGCTTTGTGTCATAGTTTACGACACATCCGACACATTTTTATTTAGAGTGAGAGGCACTCTGCCCGTTATCAATATACATGCCTAGAACTCGCTCGTGCGGTTCATTGAGAGGTTTAGCTTCTAAAAGTCGTATCGCCTTAATTATTGCTGTTTGATGGCTTTCAATCAAATAATGTTGTGATAATTGAGCTCGACAAACCTAAACAGATCGCACATTTAAGTTCACCTAATGATTCGTATTATTGAATGACAAAGATAATGGAACTATTCCATTTTAATAGAATATCTTTATCTTCATAATCGATTTTAGGCACTCTTCAATCTGTTAATAAAAGACTGAGTCATGTGAATATAAGAATATACCATAGCATCTGAACAATTTTATCTATATCAACAGCCAACCACAGCCTCTCTTATTTTATAAAATTGCGTCCTTCTCAAGCGATTCTGAATAATATTTTGCAGCATACAAATTGGCACAACAGTAAACAAAATACTTAGAGATTGACGCTGATTCACCCTTTTAATCCAACATTTTCTGTCGTTCTGGTCTAACACGAAAAAAGGTAATTGCATTTTTCTTTCTTACATTCAGTTACCACAGTCATCTGTGTTCGACTGCGGATTCTAACCATAACAACAGATACGCGTTACATACATTATTTGATATTCGTCCCTTCAGAAAAAGACAGATGCAGAATGATCTGTTTTCGTTCTTCAGTTTATCCCGTAGATGACATACTGGATTGAAAAGATTAAGTAAAATTTCAACGAATCGGTGTCCATTTAATTTTGTTCTTTTGATGAGTATTGTATTTAAGTTCCAACATCCTGACAATCATTTCGTAATGGCTGATTGATTTTAGTTCATACATCATCACAAGTTCTTGTTTTGTTAAGAAGGTTGCTATATTAGACATGATTTAATTCTCTTCTTTTATTTTATTTAAATTTATTTAAAATCTAAATCAATTTAATTTGATTTGATTTGATCTTATAGTTTATTAATTTTAATTTAAAATTTACAAATTGTGACGTTTCGTATCTCGATAAGATACTTCATCAGACATAAAAATTTAGACAAATGACATATGTACAAATAAACAAATTTTCTTTTCTTTCAGTATTAGTCATACTGTTGATAGTGATACGGAAAACAAGACGGTAATAGTAATAGCTAGCTAAGGATTGAATCCTTTTCCGTATCACTATCAACAGTATGACTAATACTGAAAGAAAAGAAAATTTGTTTATTTGTACATATGTCATTTGTCTAAATTTTTATGTCTGATGAAGTATCTTATCGAGATACGAAACGTCACAATTTGTAAATTTTAAATTTAAATTTAAATTAATAAACTATAAGATCAAATCAAGTCAAATTAAATTGATTTAAATTTAAAATAAATTAAAATAAAATAAAAGAAGAGAATTAAATCATGTCTAA